GCTTGTTTACTATGATTTCTGAATATAAATTTGATCATTTTGACCAGGCTGTCAAACCTAAGATTGGAGTGTTTTGTTTCCTGATCACTGAAGCAAGGGAAACCACTGCATTAGAGATGCCAGACAGAGAGAATGCATTTGTTTTAAAGGTAAGCATTTCTTTTTTTTCTAATCTCTGTTTGTTTATTCATGATGTCTTGATCTTGGTGGGTCAGCTCAAGGACGTATATTTAATATACGTCCTTGGTCAGCTTCAGTTTGTTTTATATGTGTGTGCATGCATATGTGTATGCCTGTGTGTATGCATGTGTGTGAATGCATGCATTCATGTGTGGGTGTGATTCATAGTCAACATATACCTCAAAGATGATCTATCTTGATAATCTAGTTTTTTTCCTTGACTTGTAGTTGAGTGTTATCCATTTTAATCGTGCAACCATCCTTATTTCTGTCACCATTTTTGCCAGTTAAGCTTTGAAAGGAGTGTTCTTAAAAAAAATAAACTCACTTTTAGAAACAAACCAATATCTATCCATGGATATTTTTTTTAAGTCTTTAAGTATAACAGAGAAAGGTGTTAACTGAATATCAGGACAACCATAACAAACAGTGAAGCAATCTATGTACTTCTTTATTTCTTAATGAACAATCACCCCAAGTACAAAACAATAGATAAGAACACATATATATGAATGTTTTTTGCAGGCTGACAGGAATTTAGAGTATGTGTTTGAGACTTGCAGTGCAGCAGACATGCAAATGTGGCTAGAAGATATCAAAGAAAGCATGGGCCCAAACAACAGAAATGGGTGGGTAATTAAAAATGCATCAGACTGATTTATACTTCTCACAACACACAATCAATTTTGCATTTGGATCAGTTATCACATTGCCATATTCCCTGTCCTACCTTGATAAACCTTGTAGCACTAGACTAAGCTTGCTCTTCCATAATGAACAACAATTGCAGTGTTTGCTCTGAAATTCTGCACCCACTGACATAATTTTAATGTAGGGCAAATAATTAAATTTAATCCATATCAATTCTATACAGCTAAATGAATTATTTAACTGTATATGAAAAATTAATTTTGATAGCAAGAGTTCAACTTTTCTTGAAATATCTTTTGTACATTTTAATATTTTGCTTCATTTTAGTGTCAACCCGATGTGGTGCACTTGATTGATCATCAATTTCCATTTATTACTGTGTTTTCATTAACCTAATGAAAAATTGTTTAAATTTTATTTTGTTCTTGTTCCTATTCAGTCGCAGCTTGCCAAGTCTCCAACCTTCATTACATGAAGTTTCTGGTAAGCTAAATTAGTCATAGTTTTGTATAAAAACACCATGCTGACAATTTATAATAATAATAATAATAATTTTTTAAAATACCTTTTTAAACTAGTGACCACTATGACTGCAGTGCCATGTCAGTTTTGAACGAAATGAACAACATACCATCATATTCCTTTGGTAATTCATTTTCAGTGCTATCAAGGGTTTTATTTTTCAGATACCACACCAATATTATACAATGACCACAGGCTGTCTAGAGGCAGTGATGTTAGCAGTGACAATCCCCCAGAACTGCCACCAAGAACACCGACACGTGTGGGAGATGGGGCACACCCACTCCACCTGTCTAGAAACAGTTCAGGAGACATGGCTGGATCACCTAGGTCAGAGAGTGGGTTTGGAGGTAGGTACTTCTTTTGCTGTGCTCTTCTTTATTGACACTGAGCCCAATGTTAATGGGCTTCTTTGGAATTTACATTAATACCCACTGGAACCATCAAGTGGTATTACAATGCTATCAGACAATTTATGAGATATTTGTCATTTTGAAAAATCATTTGCTTTGGATAAAGAAAACAATTGATTTCTTTTGCCTAGCAATGTATTATTTTACTTGGATAATTGCAGTTTAAGTTAATCAGATATAGTGGTGAATAGAAAGCAGCCTTGCCACTTATGTTTTTTTTTCGGTACCATATCATTTCTTGAAGTGAAATTCATTAATTCCAGAATTTATAGCAAGAGAGCCCCTTGGGCCTGATTGTTATGTGGATCAACAGCTTCGAGAGTACCCCTGGTTCCATGGTACCCTATCTCGCATGGAGGCTGCCCAGCTAGTGTTACAACATGGGGCTGATGGCCATGGGGTGTTCCTGGTTAGGCAGAGTGAGACGAGGAAGGGGGAATATGTCCTAACTTTCAACTTCCAAGGAAGAGCTAAGGTTTGTTTGCATTTTTTTCTTCTTTTATTTATTTAAAAAAAATTTTAGAAAGCTGTGAGTAAAATGTTCATCATACCTCATTTGCTTGTAGCCATAGTTAAGCTGCCCCCTCCCATTCCATTTTCAGGAGTGTAGCACATATAATATAATTTGTCATTTATTCCCATGTGAAATTAAGATATTCTTATATAGCTCATTCTTAAACTTTATCTATTAACCATAAGTCATAATGCTCAAAATGAAACATAATCCAATAATCTATAAAAAGGATGGAATTTTGGGTCCTGAGAAGAAAATGCTGTTGCTACATTTTGTTTTTTAAACATCTCATAAAACAAACAAGATAAGGTATTTTCTTGTGTATATGTGGCAGGTGTCAGTAGATTCCAAGATGTTTCTTCTTCTTATAGGGTAGGTTGTTTGAAATATATTTAGAATGCCAATTTCAATTTAATTGCAGCACTTGCGGATGACCATAAACAATGAAGGCCAGTGTAGAGTTCAGCACCTGTGGTTTCAGACCATATTCGATATGCTGGAACACTTCCGCACTCACCCCATTCCTCTAGAGTCTGGAGGCACCTCTGATGTCACACTGTCTGATTATGTAGTAGGGGCTAATCACTTATCACCAGGACATATTGGAGGTCACCAAGGTCAATCTGGGGGTCATCAGAGTCATGCTGGAGGTCACCAGGCCCAAGGTCATATTCAAGGTCAACGGCATAGCCCAACAGGAGGGGCTTCTTTAACCAGTGGTTTCCGTAGTGGTGGAATGGTACTTCATGGGGGTAATGAGCAAGGCAGGGATGTTCTTCCAACCAACAGTGGTTCTGTACGTACGAGGACAGAATCCATGGAACAGCTGATTATAAGGGACTCAACGCCTCCCTTACAGCCTCAACAAACTACACTGAATCTGCATGGAAGAGCAGTGGAGAACCATTATTCTTTTGTCTGAGTAACATTTATTAGATTGATAAAATGCTTAAATGAGGTAATATTAACTTGTGACACCTGCTGATTCTTGCCTGTATTTATAGTCCAAAATTTTGAATTATATTTGAAGCCTGCTTCAATGGGGATCAACAGAGATAGCCTTTTATGATGCTGTAGGCACTGGGTGTCATCATATGTGACTAGACATGAGATGTGGTTCACTTGTTAGTGATTGGAGTGAAACTCTGTTCCTAGGAATGTTGTTCTTAAAAGCAATACAAAAAGGGTGTGCATAACATGACTAATTTTTACTGTGTGCAATGGACTAAAAATTTACTGAATTTGAGAGAAAACAATTACAGAAATATCCGTAGATAAATTTTGTCAGCTTTTATTCATTGCACTGTGTTATCTAGTCAGCCATTACTTATAACCCACTCTCTTCCAAGTCCGATGAAATCCCACAAGACTGGGCTATCTTGGATGATCCCTATTTTCAGCTGCCAATTTGGATGTTACCCTTGGTACTGCTTTGAACAAGAATATTGCTTTCAGTATTAATTACCTATGGTGAAATGAAAGACTGATGTGAGAGAAGAATATATAAATGTAACATAGTAAGTTGAGATTGTTACAATATCTGCTTTGGTCCTGTGTAATGGTTAAGAGTGAAAATTCCTCGTTTGGGATAACCTTTTCCATTTTTGACACAAACTTTTCAATCTTACTAAGAGGATTTAAGCTTTGAAATGGTATTCTCTTGTCTCTAGGGTACATTGTTGTTTTGTACTTCAACAGTGTCTCATTTATAGGGAGTTGAGGTTTTGTTGCATTGATTTGTACAGTGGAACATACCATGTTTTGTTGTTCTTGTTAACCTGTTGAAATCAAGAGTATTGATAGCTAGGTAAAAACAATTATTACAGTGATAAGTAGAGAAGTGTGGATTTCATTTTGTTTTTAAGAGAGTAGATAAATGTGTGAAGTTTTTTATTAGCAGAATATTTTGTTCATTAGTGAGTAAAACAAGGTTGTTCATTTATTATCAAACTTACATCTACAGAACTCAATGGCTGCTAGCTTAAAGGGTATTTTTTGTTCATTGTACAAGAAAGGTACATGCTCTTTGTTAAGGGAGAGTGGACCATTTAACAGACATCTCATAAGAATCTAAGCATAAAGGCTAAGCTTTTTCTTACAGTGGGAGATTGACATAGTAATCCTGTTCCAATTTTTTCATTTAATGCCCACATAACTTGTTTTTGATTTGGTATAATTCTTAGTAAAATTCCTTTTAGTATATTGCACTTTTTTGTTTCAAGGTTTTGACCAATACTTTTATTTATTTTATTAAGAAATGAAAAATGTGTTATTGTAATTTCAATATGTTTTTTTTTTTTACTTGGACCATGTTGTCATTTCTGGCAATGCTGTTAGATTTCGTTATTGTACTTTCATTCCTAAAGGATTTAAAAAAAAAATCCCCCAAATTTGAGCAGGATATGTTAGGAAACATAGGTCATAGAACTTTTTTCTTTGTTTTTCTGTTTGACAGTTATAGATTTTTTTTTCATTAAGTCTATGTCTCATGCTTGTTTTGTGTGTGCTAATTATTTATTGACTTAAATATTTAAATCATGTTTTTTTTTTCATTTTTAATTTTTAAGTGTTGTTCTTTTTTTCATGATTTATGTACATTTAATTATGTCCACTTCAGAGGGGATGGTTTTACCTCATGACCCACATAATCAATCATGCTCTGGTCACAAGAACCTAATGCATTCACTGTTTATTAAGCAGCTTTTTTAGAGTAATATTACCTGACTAAATCCCATGGTGTTCAACGATAGACCATCTTTGACTCGAAAACCAAAAGTTTTTTTTCACTGTTACACGAATTATATGAAATCTTAGATGAAATTAGATTATATGTTTATCTTACCTAGTGATTGGTAGTTAAATATTACTTGATTTAAAGTGGTAATGATGGGTGTGATACTGTGCATCACAATAGTATGCGAGGTGTACCAGTTACATGACAGTTTCAATTTTGTATTATCTGATCAATTACTTTTGCCAGAGATGACTCTCACTCACCTCTGCATAAACCCTTCTTAGCAAGTTAATGTTGGTGGATACGTTGAAATGAAATTTCATTTTTCTCTTTTTGTGCTGTTAATGTCAAAAAATTGAGATTAAAAAATGCACTATTTTTAAAAGTGAGGATGTGTAGTAATATTGATATAATAAAATTGCAGTTAAACAAAAAGGTTTACCTTTAGATTGATAGATTATATTAAGGTTATGTATTTCAAAATACACTTTTGTTCTAAATACTGTTGTAAACATATGGTATTCAAAATGTGCAAGGTATGTTTATGCCTGTATGATTTTATTTCTTACTGTTTCAATATATATGTAAAAAACTGAAATTCATGTATAACAAGAGTTAAAGGAACTCTTAACACGAAAAACAGTTATCTTCCCCCCTTCCCCCCCCCCTCCCCCACCTTGAAGGTTTCAACACATCTCCACCATCCCTTAATAGTTAATACATAACCAGCATTGCCCCTCTGACATGGACACACTGATTTCAGGTTGATTTTTCTAAGATTAACTTAAGCCAATTGTATTTTGTACACAGATTCAATTTTCATTTACAGTAAAAGTGCACTTTTTTGCACAAGTAGTAATTTCGACGTTTGGTGAGCACATAACTGGCATTAAAGATATTTGTGCAGGTAATATGAATTGAAAGTAAATAGATAAATACTGTAAAAACTTCTCTGAGCTGTCTCTTCAAGGTTACATAGAAAGTTCAAGAAAATAATGACATCATATAATAAACTAGCTTGATGCTTTGTGATTTTATAGCCTCATTTTGTGTTACAGTACTTACAATATTGCATTCAATTTCAACAAATGATTTTGGGGATGAATGTATTATTCCCGAAAGTGACCATCTTGCTCTCATAAGAAAAGTGGTTTTAAGAGAACAGATATAGATGTGTGCAATCTTGAAACGGTATTTGAACTTGCTGTAAGATGAAGGAATTCCCTATTACTGGACAAGGTTGCATTCAGATTAAAGCAGAAAATATCTGCAGTCTGTATTCTTATATGATGCAACAGTGTATATATGAGTTTTTGTGGAACCAAATCCTTCAGTAGCTTTAAAATAAGGTTTATTTTTTACAATGATTTTTCAGCAGATTTTTGCAATAAATTATGCTAGTTATGTTGAAGAAGATGCCTGCATGAAAATCTAATAAAGGTATGATCAACAAAGTATGATTTTCTGTGTTGATGCCAAACATTTTGATGTTTCTATGGAATTAGGTGTAGGTCCTTGAAGTATGAAATAAGCCCTACACCTACAAAATAGTTTTAACTCAGATATATCTACTACTAGTATAAAGCAATGGGCAACGCTTGACTCAAGCACCATATCTTTATTTGATATACTTTTTTTACAACCAAAATCAATTTATTATGACACAATATCAGACATGATAGCTTCCTGTAACTGCTGCTACAAAAATAACTGAAATTTAACACAAACTCTGAAGACCAAGACAGGCAGTTTATGCAATTCCTTTCCACAAAGTAACCAATATTGTTATGAAGTATATCCACAGAACCAGTGATATTAAAAACAATTTTAAAGAATTCTGTAACATTTGATAATCAATTCAACATACTGGTGTGTTGCTTCTCCAATTGTGAATATAATTAAATATAGGCCATAAAGTACTGTTAAATGCAAATTGTATTATTATCCTTGACAGAACCCAAGCTTTTCCACATGATGGTACACCAATCTGTCATGGCAGTTGTGCTCAGCAGTTGGGCTTTTCACCTTTAATATAAGCACATTAAATGCTATGCATAGCAGCTCTTGAAGTTACTTAATTTAAAAGATACTGTTTACAGGATTTCTATTGCCTTCTTTTATTTAGATAGACTAATTGTGTATAAAGACATGTTACACTCTGTAATTATTAAAACCCTTGCTCACATGTTACATATCTATGATAAAGTGAAAATGTAATGAATGCACAATACCTTCACCTAAAAAATTAAAAAAAAAAATTAATAATGGTATTTTAACAAATACCAATGAGATTTTAGAGTTAAGAATAGGATAATGATCTGTAGGTACAAGGGAATAAATGAAAACTGTGCAAACAAATTTATTTTCTGTACCAATATTCCACAAATGTCCCCTTTATTTTTAAAAATTCCACCTTAAAATATGTCACAAACATCTTTTTTCTTGAAGCCCACATCATTTCCTAACCCATTTAGACATACACACATGTATATTTCCTTCACTTTAAACTTTGTACACGTAATATTTTTAAATTTATATTGTTGTTTAATTTAAGTTACTCAGTTCTATATGTCTATGAACTTCATACCCACATATCCAACCACCTAATATATTCTAATATATTTTCCATCCCTTATAAGATATTTCTTTGGTTTAATACCACTGCTATATATATATATATATATATATATATATATATATATATATATATATATATATATATATATATATATATATATATATATATATATATCACTATGCCACTCCCTTTCTTTTTCCATGCAGACCAAACAGCTTTCCACTAAAATTTCTCCCCATGCACATGCCTCATGTGTTCTGCAAACCTGAAGATATAAAGATATTCCTTTATAATTTAAATTTTAAATTAATAGTTTTATATCTCTGACCTAAAATCATTTCTTGGTTAAAGCTATTTTTATGTAATTTAACTTAAAATGTCATTACATTATATTAAAACTTTTATTGTCATACAAAGAAGAAAAGAGATATAAGAGAATTGTCAAAATCAATTTAATAATCCCAAAACATATCCTTACTTTTGATGACACTCAAATGATGTGTCTCTGTTAAGTGTCTGGGTATAGGCAAGTTTGTATAGCACCTAAATAGCAAAAATGTAAGAAATAGGTCAAAAGAATATAGCAGAGCAATATAATAACCATGTGTTTCTTCTCAGATGTAAATATCAAAATTTAATGAGATAAAGATATAATTGTGTGACTGGCTCAGTCAGTACATACCAAGAACACCAGGCAATGCAGGATGAGCAAATAGAAAAAAGTTACTCCTCTTGCAATCTTGTTTCCCATGATCATGCGGCCCTAGCAAATTGAGAGAAACAAAGTTACACCATATAGTGTATAGTTATTTGAAGTGAAGCTTTTCACCCTTAAGTTTAATTTCATTTTTACATTCAAACTCAATATTTGATCCATCGGAGGACTACTGGATCTTGTTCTTAACTTACCAGACTCAGAGTAATCTTGTCATGGGGTTTCAGATTCCTGTACTTCCTGGCTTTTTCCTACAATTATATCAGTGGCATTTCAATGAAAAACTGGTATTGGGATCAATTCAGATTTTTTTAATCATTCTTTATGTCAATTTTGAGTCAATAATAGTACAGTAAGTTTTAACTGAGGGTGGAGAATTAAGGACTTTCAAGTTTGTTTGAAACTTTTTTATCAGAGCTGATCATCATAAGACCTGATTAAAATTTGTTCAATTAAATATCCAATTTTAAATTAGGTTAAAAACAACCTAAAACCATCTTCTTCAAAAACCATAGACATAAAATCAGTTTGCCTTTCTGCTGAAGGATGAAAAGGGATCCAACCTTTCCTCATATTGTGAGGAATACCTGCTCTCAGTGCCATCATCTGCAGCACCACTACCCTGGGTAAAATATACATTTTTCTTATAGTATTTCCCATATTTTTTTAAAAAAAATTCTATACTACCAATTTATCATTTGCCATCAAAATCTTAACTTAAAACATTTATTATTATCTTTCCACTCTGTAAATTATCTGAAGCAAGTTGCTTTCCATATATCAAATTCCTTAACATGCACTAAATTTGGTTACAGTGAATTTACTATAACTATTATGCAACTTATACAGGGTCTCACTTAACCCTCAATATGCTAATACAACAGTGAACTAACTGCTAAATGTATCACCTTGTGGGGGTAGCTCTGTAGAAATTTGATCTTCTCATACAGTTTGACGTTGTCAGATCTCAACTTATCCATCTCATTCTGTACCAGCTGGATCTGTTTCTGCTGACTCAAGTTTTCCTGGAAAGACGTTCCCAAAACTGTGTATAACAATCACTGGTAAAAAACTTCCTTACATCTAGCTGAAAGGTTATTTTTCACACTTCAGCAGCCAAGCCCACAATAAAAAGAAAATTAGTTAATAAAAAAGACTGTAGTTCACAGTAGGAAGGGTTTCATTAAAGTTTCTTATAGTTCGCAAATCCATCTACATCTACTATTCCATCTTATTCTTTATTTCGAATGTAACAATCAAAACACAACAGAAACAAAAAAGAGCAGCTCAGAGACAAAAACACTGCCAAAAAATACAATGTATCATTTAGCACTTAGAAGCAAGTGATGCTGTCTTACAGCCTCCAGTTCCTGTGCCCTCAGCCTGAACCTCTCCCTCTGACTTTGGATGATAGGCAGCAGGGAGTCCGCAGCACCTGCCAAGGCAGGGTTGGCTAGAGTGGGACACAAAAAATTAAGAATTATCACTAACTATAAATCAACCTATTTAATCAATTTCACATTATCTTTATTGCAATTAAAATAACTCATCCACATATTTTACAAAATATATATCACAGTACATGCACTACAATAGTTGCAGATTATTAACTTGAATCTATAGCTCCTTTTATACAAATGAAATATAGTGTTACGAAATACCTGTATCTATGAAAGAATCTTTGACTGCCTCTGCTACTGCCTCTATGTTGGAATGTTGAGATGGCTCACCCTACAAAATAGAGAACTACATGAAAAGAATGGCATTGTATAAAATATGTATGTCCAATAAATAAATCAATTTGAATCATAATGCATGTACTTGTCTGGGAGATAAAGACTGCATAATTACAGTAAGATTACTTCATGTTTAAGGATTAAAAAGAGGGATGTATAAACAATACATTCAGTTTTGCAACAATGATTATGTTGTCAATTTGAACCAGTGAGAAAAAAATCTATTGTTGCATCCTGTTGTTCTTGGGCCATTGGCAATTGTCAGATTTGTTGTAATTTCAGTAGTACTATATTTAGTACTGACTATTTTAGGTCTTTCAAAAACACATGTAATATACCAATAAATATGAAGATGTTCTGGTTACCTCTCCCTCTCCTCTGAACATTGATGATAATGCATTGACCTTCCTCAGATCTTCCTCAAGTTGTGAGATGAGTTGCTTCTGCTCCTGCACTGTGGTCACAGCCTCATTGTACTGGTCCTGAAGCTGGCTGTAACGACCTGAACATTGCAAAATGGATTTTACTACAACAATAGCTATATTTCAATTATACTTTTTTCCCATAAATGTCCTGTGGTCATAGGCTCAATGTGCCTGTGGTCTAGTATTGTAATATAGATTTGATTACAGTTCTAATGAGAACCATGAATTCACGCAGACAGAAAAAATGAAATGTTGGGCATGATTGGGAAAAGGCTGAGAGGATTTGTATAACCTTGCAGCTTAATATCAATAATGGAATCAGGCGCTGACTTCAAAATAAAACATCTTTTGGTGTTGAAACTTTTGGTTCATTTCTTGTTTTTAATTATTGAAGTATTGCCAAAAACATCCATTTGTATGTACTTCTCAAAAGTCAAATAAGTTGCACAGGAAAAGACCAGGTGAACATGGACATGACCATGCCTGTTTGAAATCAATGTTTCTCATGGGAGTTAACAGCAGCAAGCACAAGGGTGTAGACCAAAGTTGGGGCCCAGTATCCATTAAGGGTTGACAGTCCCACCTCTCATCAATTACAATGGACAATGTGACAGGAAAATGTGCACAACTTTGTCATTATCAACTCCACTGGCTGGTACCAAGGACTGATTGAACTTGGGGAGATACTTGTAATACAGTACATGCTAGTAATTCTAATAAATTATATGTTGTAACAGAGGTTATAGTGTCAAAAGGTGAAAAAAACAATAGTGTTTGATATAGCTACATGACTTTTCTGTCCTGTAACAGATTCTCTGCAGACACGGGTGAATGGATGAATTCATGAAACACAAAAAGGTTTTGTTCTGAGCTTTTACTAATATTCAAATGGGTTTTCTGGTATGTGTGTGTGTGTCAGTAATATTTTATTCCACCATAAATTGTTTGTTTTATAAAATGTAGACATGTAAGACTCAAATTGAAATTTTAAGTTTTATTTATGTAATATGTCTATTTACTGTTCCCCAAATGCATACTTTAAATGTTTGAGTAAATTTAAATAGTTTAATATTTTAAAAGGATAATATATAAAAATTATCACCCAACAACTGATAATGAATATGACAAAAACCAGTTCATTAGTACAAATAATTTTATTATCTAAGCATTTTGGTCACATTTACATTAGTCCAAGTGGCCTACTACTATTGTTGTCTATCACTATAAATTATGTAAAGTTATGAATCTCTTGCATATGTGTATAACTAAATTGCACTATAGTATTATTCCACTTCCATTTGACTCGCATACAAATGATAAAAAAAGTCCCACAATGCACGTAGTACTTGGGCAAGAAAAATAAAATATTGCAACATCAAAAATGACTAGTATTTTGTGACCTTCAGGTCTGTTGAAATAGCACGGACTTATATAACTTAAACAAAACAAAACTGAACCTATTTTACAGCACAAAACCCATGCCATAGGAAAACTATTATTGCATCTGAACATAAAGCAAGGATGTGTGACTTACATGAACTAGTGACACACTGAGAAAAGGATTGCAAAAGATACAACATGCACCATTAATTTTGGATATCTAAATCCATATTGATATTTAAAAAATTAGAATATACAATTCTCATATCTTGGCATAAATTTTACTATTCATTCAGCATGTCTAGCACATGTAACTTATTCATATTACTACCACATAATCTAGAAAAGCTTAAATAAACTAAGGCTGCATTCAGAACAGCAGACTAACTAGTCCGTGGGCCAAATATGGCGACCGACAAAAAAGTTTGACATCTAATCTTCTAATAGACACTGTATAGGTTCCCCATGGGGAAGCATTCAAGTGGGTCGGCCATATTTGACCCGTGGACTAGTCAGTCCGCTGTTCTAAATGCGGCCTAAGAAACAAAGATAAAAAGACACTGCATCTGGAATGAAATGTGTGCAAGACGTCAGGAATAAAAGAATCATCTTTAGGTGGGTAGATTCGTCATTTGTAAACTTTGGCTAAAATGTTCATGTTTGCACCAATTCAATTACAGAAAGAGTTGTGTCACTGGTAAAATGATTAGTGTAGCAATGGAAAACTTGTCAGTTTTCCTTCAGTTTCTTATAAAGCAGCAAGTAGCAACCAAGAAATTCTGAGGCACCAAATTCAGGAAAAATCACTTTTTCCACCATAAATTATATTTTAAAATAACACCCGCAGGCTAAAGCATTTTGAATTTTTTTGATTAGAAAAAAATGTGGTTTGTGAAGATATGCATGTTCATTACAAAGAACACTCTCAAAGACTGCTTTCAACATGATGGCAACTTTCTGTACTGGAATATTTACCCTGGCACCACCACACATCAAAAAATAATAAAGCACTGTTTCCATAAATGAGATCAGATCCACTTCCAAATCTTTGTCTATTTAAAATGCCTCAATGGTCAACTCACAAATACAATCTTTCTTCACAATAATTGTGATAACAATTTGAAAACACATACAAATTTGCACTTCACATCTTACTGACATCACATTACATGACACAGTTTAGCACCTATACTATAAGAAGTAGTGACTTAATGAGCCAATAGCACAACATAAATGTATGCTTAATATAATATTTGCTTAAATGAAGTATTGCAGGTCATTATTTACAAATAACCCTTTCACCATTTCATAAGAAAAAAGTATGTACAGACGTAGAATGTGTAAATGTTCATACAAAATTACAAAATAGTTTTGTTGGACAAAAATATTAGATGTAATATAATCGTTGACAAGTGGGCATAGTCTGCTTTTTCATTTACATTGCACAGTAAGTAACAGGCCATTACATTCACTAGAGGTCTGTTGATATTCAGATCTTTTTCATGAAAAAAAAATGAACACATCTTAAAAATAGACAATTTACAAGTTTGTCCTGTGATCGGAGGGTGAAACTTCACTCCCCAGCATGGCATTAAAAGCTGTGTCCTTGCTGTTTGGAAGGAAGAGGCATTAACACTTCATATTTTGCACTTTTTTGGCAATTTAAAAAATTCATATTTTAGAACAGGTCACCATCTAGTAACATTCTAAAAGACATTCTTGCAAATAGTCTCTATTATGACTTTGAACATATGATGTAAAGAAGAATATTGAGTTTACAATAATAAAAATAAGCACAGAATACATATTTATATGAATCCAATGGAATAATCTTTGAACACTACCATTTAGATTTTTAAATCTCAATTTATTTGACTTGCACCATGAAAAATACATAGTTTATCACTTAGAATTCCCATTCTTCTTCCTGTGGGGGGTCTTTTTCCAGATTTTTCTCCAGTTTCTCAATGCTTTCTTTTCTATCCACTTCTTCCCAGTCCAAGTCAGAGGATTCTATTTTCTTTTTAATCAGCTGAATCTTTTCCAATCTTTTTATTTTCTCTTCCTCTGTTTCACCAGGCAGACTATTCTTATTGTTATTCCTTTCCTGGATATCATTTGACATCTGTTCAGATTCATCTGTGGCATCCAACTCTACAACTTTATCCTTGTCACTCTCTACCTGTTTGTCTACAGTTTTATCCAACTGAACTCCTTGATAAGCTCTCTGTGGGTTAGAAGACTTGCGTTTATTCACAGAGGGCCTTGCAGTTTGACTATTTTCATTCGGTGAGGCTTCTCGACGGGGTCTGTTATTACCCTGCTCTAAGGCCACATCTCCCTGTTCAGAAACACTCCCGACATCATCAGAATTTGCTTCAGAATTGGGAGTACGGCAATTGTCAGAGGCTCCTACAGGTTCAAATGCTGGGAAGAGCCACTGTGAGGTCTCTCTACTACTGTTGTTGTTGTACTGGATTTGGCTATTGCTGTTATTGCTCGCATCACTCAGATTGGAAGCCTCATCTGTCAACTCTGTCTTCACATGCTGATAAGACAACTGTGGTGTGTTACGAGATGGAGGCCTCTGTTGCTTGGCACGCATGCGGTGGTTGTGAAACCAATTGATAATAGTCTTTGAGTGCACATTCAATTCCTGTGCAAGGAATTCAATGGTGTTCTGGTTTGGGTAAGGATCCTGGGCATAGGCTACTTTCAGTGCTTCTTTCTGTTCATCAGAAAAGAAAACTCTTGGTTTCTTGCCACTGGTGTTGCAGCCAGTTGAGCCTGTTGAGCCCTCTGAATGGCGGTCAGCCTCATTGCTTCCCTTACGCTTTCTGCTTGCTGAAATAGAATTCAAACCCATTTTATATTTCAAATCTGATAAACAGTACAAGCAAAAATAATCCATGTGACAGATATATTTATATACCATGGTTTTGTTGCCTAATTTTTATATATAAGTCCTCATGGGAAAAATTCAAAATGATCTTCAACATGCAGTTTTTCTTTTGTTTCATATCCCCTATGTTGTTTGCTTGCTTAGATCCCTACACCTTCCATCATTTCCATAAGACCATCCAATCTATCATTTCTAGAAACCTGTGCTTTCAAAATGCACCATTTCAGTCCCATCTCTCACCTCTGATTTCATTCTGATAGATTCTAAGCCTCTCCACACCCTGTGGATCATTCAACCACATCTGCATCTTTATAAATGGCTCTCTCCCCTTTAAACTCAACATATGCCAGGGCTTCGGCTTGGACAACAGCTCACTCACCGACCCCTGAGACAGCCCCAAGATGGCCTCCCCAAACAATTTCTGACCCAAATTATGAAAGAGGAGAACCTCTTTGATTTTACTGGTGACAGCTAAGGTGTCCAGTTCTGTGGTCATAGCAGCAATCTCATACACTGAGGGCTGGTGCCCAGACTTGACCATGGGGCTTGAAGTGAGAGAGGCACGGTGTGCTTCAGGAACTTTGGAGGAAGGGATGATGGGGTTGCTAGGGGGGAGAGGTGTGTGAGCTGGTGGTGGTTGCTGACTGTTGGTGGTGTGGCTAAAGGCCTCTGTAAACAACCAAAATAAAACAACTCAAAAGATGGAAAAAAATACCCCCACGCTTGAAGAAGAAAACTAAAATACTTAAACAATATATATCCCTTATCAGCAAAAGAAAGAAAGAAGACAGTTCTAATAAAAGATTTTTTTCAAAGTCAATGAAAACAAGACATCATCTTGTAATCTGAATACATATCCCTTAAAGAATTAAATGAGGCAGTACTTAATCATCACAACTTAGAAAACCTTGTAAAACCATAAAGAACAACGACAATAAAATATGGAAAAAAAATTTAAAACAAGTAGTAGTAATAGTAAAGTAGTAGTAATAATATGATAGTAGAGTAGCAGAAGCTAAAGAAACAACAACACCAACAGCAGTAACCACCAGCACCGATCACAGACAGATGGACAGTGAGTATAGTCATGGGCCTGCCTAACCATGCACAGAGAGTGAGAGAGAGAGAGAGATGGCCATTCCATTTAGTACAAGCTTTATAGTGACATTATCTAAAGCTGGACTTGTGCCAGAGTTAGTAGTAAGTGCTACATTCCTATCACTTTCCAGGTATTTTATTCCCTTGTTAAACCCTTGCACACACTATGTTAGTACATAATTCCAATATCAACAAACATGGAAAACAACACAGCCAATGCATGTAGCATACATATAATACCAGCAGTATATAGGAAGTAACCAAAGATACCTCTTCCAAAATGCTAATATTAAGTTAGTAAAATACATGGTTAGTGCATAGCACAAATTCTGTTTAAAGATAACTTAGTGGTGTTAGAATAAAATGTGTTATCAACTAGTTATATCTGACATAATTACCTGGCGCATTTGGAGGATAAGGTCCATAAGAGCCATGAGTTCTCATCAGCTTCTCTGGAGCAATCTTGTATTGGTTAGCCACCAAGCGTGGAATGGATTCCTTGTCTTTCAGGAAGATCTGCATGCGAATGAATGGTTCCCGTCCTTTCTGTGTCAGCATGTGCCAAGGTTTTGGGCGTGCCAGGAGATCACTCACACTCCCTTGGGACAGCCCCAAGACATTCTCACCAAACAGTCTTTGGCTAATGGAAAATTGACTAAGGGAGTCCTTTACCTTTTTGACTAGCTCGTCAGTATTGAGATTGGAGTATTTATCGAATTCTTCTTGTGTAATTGGTGGTAAAACAGGCCTCAGTGGCTTCTGAGGTAAATTGTGAGCTTGAGCATTCAGTGACAAAGAATTTGCAATACTTTGCATCCTCTGTAATGGCGACATAGCATCTGTATTATATGATGCAGGATCATAGGAATTTGACCTTGGTCGCACAAGGAAAAATGCACTACCTGCATGGCGCATGTTTTCTTCAGAAGAAGAATTTGGACTATTGTCACTTTGGTCTTTCATTGACATATTCAGTGCCTGCTCCTGTCCATCATCTTCCATAGGCTCGGCCTTCACTTTGATTGACAGGTTATCAGGAGAATCCCCATTGCCCTCCCCCTGCCTCTTCTGTGCATTCTGGGCCAGCCTGGAGAGTTCCTGCTGATACATAGTGCACTCAGCTATATTACCTGCCCTTTGAGCTGCATAGGCCAGTTTTGCAAGTTCCTCCTGATAAATCCGGGTGACTATCTCTTGTGAGATTGACATATCTCTCTCCATCTGTTCCCTGCTTTTACTGCGAGGAGATTTAGGGCTCTCTCTGCCCTGCCCCTGGGCCATGCGTGCCAGCTCCTGCTGGTATATACTTTGCACCATGGCATTGGTAATCTGAGCCTGAAATGGGAACTACTCAAGGTTAGAGTGTGTTGAGCAAGCTACTTGAAACTTCTCAAAAATTTACATAGGACTTCAAATTTCATTGTTTCAAATTTAGAGGGGAAAAAAAAGCAAAAAAATTCAGATCTCTAGAAAGTTAGGATCACTTGCACCATATTATCAACTGACTTTCAACTGAGGGGACCTCCCATATCCCCATATGAAACTCTATCCATCAGAGCATACATTGTCAAACCGACAGTTCATCACAATTTCAACTCTCGGGTTTATTCTTAACTCCGTCAATCAAATAACTTAGTAAGTACCTGCTCTGCTGCCTGTTTACTTTGCATAGCTTGTTGAGCTTCAGATAAAATCTTGGAGATTTTTTCCTCAGTTGCTGCATCATCCACTTTGGAGCTGGACATAAGTGGCTGGCCACCTATAAAAAGAATCACAGATAAGATTTGTTTGATATTTGTTTGATATTTGTTTGTTTGATAACAAATCTAGGCTAATGCTGAATCATTAAAAAGGTTACTTAACTTTTTTTTATCTTACTTTTTCTTACAACAAGAAGTGTTCAGAGTTCCCTGAGCTAGTTGACATAACAAAGATGAGTGACTTACTTTCTCACATAAAACGACACTCACTGCATGCGATAAAATTCTACATGACAACTGTTCATTAAAATGCCATATCAAAGTACAAATGACATGAATTTCACTGCAAACAGAAATGAAAAAAAAAATTACAGCACTGATTTTAACAGTCTACTTACAACACACATCAACTACATAACTTAAATTTTAACAACCAAAAAATAAAGGAAAGAAAGAAAAGATACATTCCACTTACAATTCTTACCTTTCTTCGGTGATATGGCTTTGAGTGCATAGACGTTCCTCTCATCACTTGCCCATGCAGACATCTTGCGGTAGGACTCTCTTCCTTTCTCTGTTAGCTTATCCCAGTGCTTGGGCTTTGACAACAGCTCACTGACAGTTCCTTGTGACAGCCCTAACACATGCTTGGCAAATAGTCTCTGGCCTATATTATGACTGCTCAAAATCTCACGGATTCTCAAAGCAACTTCAGCAGTGTCCAGAGAACTGCTATTATTTATGTCAATTTGCTGCCTTGAGTTAAACTTGTAACCGACTATACCATTGAGTAGTAACTCTTGAGGAATAGGTCCATTTGGGCGAGCAGAGCCAGGAGATGTTGTGGGTCCGTTAGCAGCGTGCCCATTCTCTACATTAATATCACCATTCACGGGTGGTGAATTTCTTGCTGAAGATGACGCGGGGGATTCTGGATTAACTGATGCAGTCTCGCCTTGGGATTCAGAACCTCCTTTGCAATAAGAAGCAGCAATTTCTTGCCCAATGATTGATGCAAAAGCTTCAGTTGTGGATAGGGGTGGGGTTGAGGTTCCTGCAAGAAAGGTGTATAAAATGCACTATGGTTCAAACTTTCTGTTAAAAAATCTAAACTTTAGCTGCTTCTTTCTAATAGAATATGATATGAATTTTCAAAGAGTATACTTTGTTTAGTTTGCTGGAGAGTAAATTTGACATCTTTCCCTATGACAAGCATGTTCCAACCAGCTTCAATTTTGGTATGAAAGAAGCAACCTATGAAAATGCACAAAGCTTTCACAACATCCAGGATACAAAATTTGGGAAGGCATTTTTACACCTTTCTTGAGAAACATAAATTGGGGGTACAAAATCAACAAGAATCAATACAATCAAGATTTGATAAACAAAACAAGCATAACACACTACATGTGAATTGAATGAGATGCAAAACAAAACAAGCACAGTTGAAAGATTTTGTTTAAAATAGAAAAGCACTAAGTAGTCCACAAAGATCAATTTCTAAACAAGAATTAGAGGATTCTTAATAAATGGTAAGTTTCTTTGGGCTTGAATTAAAAAAAGGTTCATGTTTCCACACATTTGTGGTTTGTTTTCTGCAGGAAGTAAAACCACATTCTGAGTTTCTTTATCAACTGATAAAGGTTGTCATGAAGAGAAAAAGATGTCAAACCCTAAACTTTGTAACTAGTTGGTGAAGCACTCAAAAAGTAAAAGTGAAGTTACGTATTAAGTGGTACTACACTGAATGCTGTCAATAATCATCAATGAGCTGCCAGAGATTAATTTTTTAAAGAAAATCCATCATGTCTTTAATCAAATGGAGACAGAAATGATATTTACATAAATAACATAAAAGGTCAAAAAGAAATTATTCAAATAGGAATTATATGAAAAAATATGATTCATAAATGAAAACAAAATGGGGATGACAGCATTAAGTGTTAAATTAAAGGCAATGGAAAACACAATGATTCTGTAAAATACTCTTACCTGTTAAATCATTGGCTGCCATCTTCATCTGAGTGTTTTCTGTTTGTAAAGCTCTGTTTTTTTCCAGAAGTAACATCTCTAACGACTTAGGTTTTGCCTGCTCACCACTGCTGGCAGCACTTTCCTCACCCATGTTGGAAAATTCAATTGATTTCAGTATTCTGGAAAAAATTAGATTTTAAACAAAACTAAGACCCCATTCCCAGAGATTAGATCGATCCAACTAGATCGACCTAACTCCCTGGAGTTTACTCTAAATAGCTGTCAGCCGAGCAGGCACGAAAGTTAATTACCCCCTTACAGCTTGTAGTAGGCGGAACAGACATTTAAGCCGGAATATCTGACAGTAATCTAGTGAGACTCCCCATGGGGATAGATCGATCTAAAATCTATGGGAATGTGCCTTAAAACTATGAATTTACTATCATTCCATGTTACACATACTTTTTCACCAGGCAAACATCCCCTATTATTGAATGAAGGCAGAGCTCCAATTTTTTCTCACTAGTTTTTACCCCAATAGGACATATGATTTATAAATACAATAAAGAAAGAAATGTTACAAGTTCATAAATCATACGTCTGTAATTAATTTAATCATTTTTGCTATGTTTGTTTTCATTCTTATGAGTGAATCACTACTTCCTATAAAGAGTCAAATACTTCAATTCATCATAAAGGTATTTGCTTTAAATTTCATTTTACCCCAATTCTCTCTTGATCTCCTCATAATCCTCTTGAGATTTCATTTTCTCCTCCAAGGTTTTGAAGGCTCTGTTCTTTGCTGACAATTCTTCTTCAAGCTTAGCAATCTGAAAATATGTTAATTACTTAATACTTGATCGTTTTCAACAGGTGAGAGAACACTTAATGATGCTTACTAAGTTGTGGCAAAAAAAAATTAATTAACATTCCAACTTCAATTTATCAAGATAGAAAAATTATCATTTTATATACCTGAGTACTGGTTGAATCTCTCAGTTTGGTCAAATTATTCTGCAGTCTCTGCACATCTTCCACCAACTGGGAAATCTGGAACCATAACACAACCAGGCTGATATTCAGTTTTTTGGACTAGGGTGGATCAAGAAAAGTATACTCCTCCCAACACCCTTCCTCCCACTTTTTCACATCTTGAAATACCCTTCAACTTGTAAATGAGTGACTATTTTAATCAAATTTATGATGCCTTTTATATAAAATAATTGACACACAGTTATAAAGGTGATATTCTTTGCATATGTAAAAACAGAAAAAACCTTCTTACCTCCTTTTCCTTGGCTGCCAATTCAACTTCCAAGCTGGATCTCTTCAATATGTCAATGGCTTGCTCCATGTCAGGTGCCTGCTGCATCTGCTCTGCATGCTGGAGATTTTGGGTGGCAGAGTCCAACTGCTTTTTAAGCTTCTCTGTCATACGCTCAGCAGCTGCTGCTCTCTGGTGGCAGAATAGAAAACTGAATGGTAACTTATGGCAGATAAATAGGAAAAAATTTTTTAAATTGTGAAAACACTCAAAACATCATCTTCATAAATAAAATTTATCTCAAAGGCAATGGATTTATTTGTTACTAAACTTGGGTCATTTGAATTTCAAGCAACCTTTGAAAAGTACATAATATTCAGATCTCACAAACCTCATTAGCTCTTTCTAGATCTGCCATGACCATTTCCGTTTCATCAGATCTGTAATAAAAAAATGCTAAGTGTCAATTCTAAAGTAAAAAACGTGTCTTGAATCTGATCATTCACAAAATCCTTATCAAAAGGGAAAGACATCTCTTGACATACTAGTGCAAAATTTGTCTTCACAGGCTGAAGAACTTTGTCACCAGGAGTATAAACAAGTCCTTGTTGTGAGTTAGAATTCCAAGTCATTGACAAAAAAGATCAATACTGAAATCTGATCGATCACTCGTTCATTAAGAAGCGACAGTTACTAAGAGAAGAAGCCTGTAGAGATTCTAAAGAAGCATTTCATGATGCACAAAATCTAACAATCCTTCTAGTATCTCACCATTGGTTTTGACAGGGAACTATCCATTAGAACATGATCGATATTTCATAACTCAAGGTGGAGTCAAGCTGCTGTTGAGTCAATATAAAGCATATATATTGATCACTACAATTGTTGGGGATTCATCCAAAGCTGACAAGGAGATCAATAGAATGATGGCCGATGCATTAGTCTGATCACCATGAAACTGAATCCAAATTCACAACATGAAAGATAATCACTACCCAAATGACAAATGGTCATATATATCATACTGAGCTGTTATTTCTTTTTATTTTCCCCATCATTCCTTAGCTTTTTCTTTGTCATTCAATGCATCACTAGATGCATGAATAGCTTTCAGGAACATCCCTTAAAAATGATCATTAATTCATCATATCCATACACAGAGATCAATAATGCTAACAGAGGTTCCGTAAAAACCACAGATTCATAAACAAGAGATGCAGACACCTTAGGAGAACACAATGGTATCAAATATGTCCACCCCTCCAGGCTATCTGGATTAAATGAACCTATAAATCACACCTGGTTTCACAAAGCTGCTGTTTTCTTCAACTGAATGAAAATGGCTATTGAACTGAACCCATAACCAATGTTGCCAACTTATTAGTCAACATCACATAGACAGTGATGTTCAACAACCTTTTCAATAAAAAAGCTTCTTTTAAACTTTTAGAATTTAAAGATGTTAAAGCAATAATGCAATAGTTCATAGATCACCAGTTGCAGTTTTTAAGCAAAAACCTAGCAAGCAAAGTAGATGACAAGTGAAGTGTGAATGACAAGCACTACACTAATGATCAGGACCAACTGAGAACATGTCTCCATGTTACTAGCAGACACATATATGCAATGATGAATTATTCAGCACTTGTTTCACTCCACCTCAGCTTGTGCACTAAAAACAAATCACAACCAGATTGATCATTAAAAGGGTCCATTTCTAACAGTTCAGCTTCAAAGCAAAAGTTCTAAGAGACAAAAGAATCAAAGTTGATGGAGAAAACAGCCGGTTTCTAGTCAAGCGAGTATTTTTCCAAATCAATATTCTTTACATGGAATGATGTTCAGGTGTTTGCTTTCTTAGTGCCCAAAAGTCATCAAAATCATTAATTGTCCGAACTTAATAAACTTCTACTCCAAAGCAGAATGGATTTAATAATTCATTCAATCTAAACTGAGGGCGTTCAATACAGAGCACAAAGAGGGACTCTAGCTTAAGCCCTGGCTTATTTGTTCTTTTCTCCCCATATTGGAAATCAATAGACTCCGTTCAGGCTACCGGTCTTTGATTGATTTTCTTTATTCTTTTTCTGCAGCAGCTGAGATTGCTTGTCCCAAGATTATTGATTACATCGATACTGAACCTTTGCTGGGTAAACACAACCAATAATGCTAGATACCCGGGCCCATAGACAACAAACAAGACAGGTGGGCAAAACAAACAATGCCCATGTTTTGTTACTGCATTATTGATTGACTATTTGACAATTAGTGCCTTTTCTGAAATGCTAAATCACAATCATCTGTTTGCTTTGTTCATGTTCAAACGATGTATGCATTAGTGCAATCGGTGATTGGAACATAAGCAGCTTGTGTTCTGTACTCTGCATGTTGAATATAGAGAAATGATACAGTTTTCTTCTTTGACCTAAGATTGTAGATTTCTCCCTGGCATGAAGTATCACTACAAGAGGTGTTATTTCTCAAGAGTGATCAAAATACTTATGTGTTGGGCTAACATTTCTCTATTAAAATCATTTTTCAAGTGATGCTTTCTGAGAAGTTAAGAGTGATCAAAACCAGATAAGATACTGATCAAGTTAAGTTGAACTTATGAGATTACTGAATTAGTAGCAGGCTGGGAAATCCCAGAGAAAAAATGACCCTATTGGTACAGCTACTAGTCTTTTAGAAATCAAATCCAATTAAAAGTCAAACAAAGAACAATAGGGCAATGCTTTCATGGATTACTAATTTTTTTTTCAAAACCAGAAAATAATGGCATACCACCAAGCCACACAAGTTGCACAATCAAAAGATACATCCAGTGCATAATATGATACCAAAGTGAGCTGCAGAGACATTTCGAACTCTACATTTAGGATGTAAAACAGGAATAAAAAAAATCAATAGTTAACAAGTTTAATATGAATTAAAAAATATTTGTATAAAAAAAAACTAAAGAAAATGTAAAAATCTATATAGGTATGCATATCCCTTCATACTTACTTGGCTGTAGTAGTTTCGTCGTACTTGGACTTGAGATCAAACAATTCTGACTGGCTGTTGTCCAGAGCTAAAAAATATTATTCATCAAAATATCATCAGATTTAAGTGCATATTTTCAACTGTTCATGCGATACCATACATTAATCACAAAATTTAAATTTCACTTAATGCGTTTACTCCACAACCTCTTCAAACTAGAAAAAAAAATCTATTATAAAAACTTATCAAGAACATAACTTCAAACTCTTTTCTCCAATCCAAAATAATCTTATGTCATATGAAACAACTCGGCAAAGTTGCCATATATGCCAGCACACTTATCTCATAATCTTACCACTTTGTAAGGTGGATACTTTATGTTCAGCTTCTCCAAGTTTTCTGGCTACATCCATCTGGGTTTCTTGGAGCTGGCGCTCCTTCTCTGCAAACAAACGCTGAAGTTCACGTTCTTTCTCCTTTGCTCTAGCCTGTGCTGTACTTTCAACTTTCTCTTCGTGTTCTTTTAACTTTTCTTTCAGCTGCTTGATGGTAACCTCTGAAAATTTTCAATTTAAAAAATATTAGGATGCATGTCGGTGACATGTACATCAGCAAAGTTTTTTACACAGGTCATTCACACCAAACAAAACCATGGTTATTATTTTGAGTCACACTTTGCAAAAATAATAAATTAAAATAGAAAATAAATTACAATAAAACAATTTTGCTAAAATGAACAAGTTTAAGTCTTTGGTGAAAAATTTAAATACAAACATGAAAGGGAGTTGAGTTTCATGCAGTAAAAATTTCACACTAACCCTGATTTTTTACTTCTGCAAACTCATGGTTGTACTCATCCAAAGTTTCCCTGAGCTGCTTGTTTTCTATCTCTAAATCCTGGGCCTTATGTGCCCTCTTCTGCAGTAACAGGGCATGCTCAAGTACTTGCACTGGATCTAATTTAAGACAAAACATTACAAAATCATTACATTTGCCACAAATATTAAAATGGCAAACACCAAAAGAAATTTGATTAGATGAACAATTCAAGGAGATAAAGACAGCATGAATTTAAATCACATGAGACAGTAATATCTAAGTTACTTCCCATTTCACATCTTTAGAGTAGGTTATTTTAAAAAGAGACAAAAAAAATTCTAAGTGACCAAATGACAGTAATCAACATCATACAACTGCTTGTCATGCTAACCTGCACAAACGAAAAATTATCATAATTCAACATCTCTGGATGAAAAAAAAGTGCAGCAATCATCTTTCACCCTACTTTCAAAATTGTGAAAACCAGTACTTGAACACCTTTCACTGTTGTATTCCAAGCAAACAATAAGTAACTGTGAGTAAGCTAATATTTGACAACAGTTCTGCCCAATTTAGTGTATCTTTAAAACAAAGATATTTGGCTGATGAAAATCATAATTCACTATAGTAAAACATAAAAGGGTTTGTTTTTGACATCTTTCATCTAAAGAGTTATGGAGTTTTGTTTAAAAATGAACAAGGCATCTTTCTCCTCCATAACGTGAGAATTTGGGTGTTTTAAGGTTACAGTGAATAAAAAATTGTATCCCAGCTATGTTTCCCTCGAGGGGAAACCTCAAAATCGAACCCAAACCAGTCGTTAAATATTCTCATAAATCATATTTTTGTCACTATGACTGCTAGGCAAACAAAGGGATTTCAACAGGTCACAGGTATATGGTTAGTGAAGAAAGGGGGGAAAGCACATAAAAAATCCTTTAACTTTTTTAGAATTCATTCGAGGATGCCTCTTCTTTACAGGGCCCATAATAAGTAAATATTTAGCTTTCAATCACCTTCATAAATCACTGATTTTCTTCAATTTGTCTTCAAGTTAACAAGATGTAATGTCTATTGTAACAAATTTAGAGAAAAGAATAATACCAACACATCCTACAGACTCGACATCAGAAGTATCAATCATTAGATTAGCAAAGAATGGATTTTTGCAAATTGCTCAACTCCATTAATTGATTCTCTGGTTCTTTTTTCAGCAGAAAATCAATCAGAATCATTCCCCTGATGACAGGTCCCTTTGTTCAGAACTCTTTTCCATTGTATGGTTGGCATAAACTAAGATAAACGGGGACATGTTTCTTTACAGCTTTAAAAAATTGTTACAATACTTATTGATTTGATTTGAAATTCTGCACAGATGTTCGATACACCGTTTGATTTTACATGTTTATCTAACATCAGTCATTGATTATCTATTCAATCACATTTGCTGCATGAAAAGAGAACAAAATTGTTGAAAATAACTTTATTTGATAAAATTGATTATTGGCCTGTATTGGTGACCAAACTATTATTAGTGATTCAAAAATAAAGCAAATGCCCTGAATCAACAAAAACTAATGATTGATTCTATTTCTGTAAGTTTTATGGATGTACTAAGATCAATAGGTATTGAATATCAATAATTCTGGATCAATACTGCAGTAAATATTATATCAAGTATTCATTATCAAATAATTGGCCACAAATAAAAATTGTCTGCTCCTTTTTTCAAAAACTTGTATCAAAAAAAAAAAAAAAGAAGTAAAATAAATTATTTAATAGGATTGCTCAACTATTTTCTATCATAGGTAATATAAAACTTTCATATAAGTTGTGCCTAAGGTACCTGGGATATCTATTAGTTTCTTGTAGACTGACAAGAAGGCTGCCTCTGCTGCTTTACTTCTCTTGGACAAGGCATCTATTTCTCCTTGGAAGCTTTTCAGGAGTGGGGCAACAACTTTGCGAATATCCTTCAAACGTTAAGAGAAAAATATCCTTAGTATACTAGAAAATAATTCATGTTAAAACATATCAAACTTGTTTTAAATGAAAAATGATAAAATCAAAACATTAAATAAAAATGAAAAATAAAATTTAATCTGGAGAGGATATTTTGATACTGTCACTATGATTAAACACAAGTGTAACAGTTTTACTCTACAGAGACAGGAAAAGCTGGGATATAAATGTTCAAGTCAATTTCCTTTCAATCCCTTGGTGTGAGCAGTAATCCCATCCAAAAATCTTTTGTTCATCACATTCAAGTACCACTGCCGTATATCATGTGATTGTCATGCTTCCACATTTGAGGTGAACTAAAATTTATGACATCCTCTCCAGATACTAGTTGGTTCATCAACATGCAGTTCTTGTGCGATTAAAAATCAGTAAGTAGTATTCACCCAACATCTGACTTAAATCAAAATTCAAATAGGGACCTTTTTTATGAAGTATAAATGGCATCATGTATGTAGAACACACCACAGGGATGCTTAACTTAAACACGGTTCAATATTCAACTTAAAAAAACTTTTTAATCACATGGGTGAAGATAACTTTCCACTATAAAACACTAAAATTGTAATGATATCTTAATGTTTTTAAGACGACTATCCCTGAATAAAATCTATCGCAAAGGACATTAAGGCACACGAAAAAGAACATTAGATCACTAAATTTCCCCAAAAAGCCCATTTGCCAGGGTGTCCCAGTCACCCAGGTGCGACAAATTCATCACCTGAACGACTTTGATGGAAAAGCATGTCTGAGTCATGCCAAATATTGACCTCATTTTATATTCCAATGAAAACCAAGAATCATTTAATATGTAGCAGTTATCATCTATACGTTTCCTTCTTTAACAGTGTCTTCACTAAATTACCCAACATACGTTTACTTCTCATCCCCTCTACTTACTCTGATATCATGATCAGATATGTAGTCTTGGCATTTTTGTATTTCACAAACTGGGAAAAAACTTTTCAAAATGATCGAAAATGAATACCTCTGGTGTGTTCTTCTTGAAATCTCGACTTTGTTCCACTAGTCTTTTTCTTGATGCGTCACTTTCATCTTGTCGGCTGGCCAAGTCTGTGGCTGAGGTATCTAAATCTTTCTGAAAATAAGAAAAAAGAAATCAGAAATTCTGGTATCATATCATAGCCCAAAAAAGACCAACATCATACAATTAAGAACATAAGCATTCAATGAGGAACAGATGAAAAATTTTAAAAAATTCAATAGCTGATTATTAATTAATTTAAATCACACACACTCCTTAATGTATGATTTTGTAAAGCTTTGTCTCTTCTTCTAGACCAATATCTTTCTACATATTTTTACCTTTCTACATATTTTACCTGAAAATTTACCAATAAATCTATATTTTCCACTTTTTGACAAGCCACTGGTCAGGAGAGTGTTTCCCAAATGACCATCACTGATCATACTGACCAGAGTTACATCAAACCACTCAAGGTTTGCTAGTCAGCTAGATCTGATAAGTCACACATCAATGCACCAGACACACAGGTGGCGCTTTTTCTTTACAAAAATAAATCACCTTTATTTAGCATAATGGCTTCGAGTTATGAGAGACTCACATAATTGAACCTGTAATGATCTAGGGGCATTCTGTATCACAGTCATCTCGCCTACTTTGTAATTGACTTGGAACTCTGCTTTTAACAAGTCCCCCAAAAATTTCTGATGTAGTCAGTGATAATAGTTGATTGACTGGTGTATAGCATGCCAATTATCCAAGCAGGGAAAGCTTCATATCACACAAAGGTTACTTTAAGTCTCGTATCTGCTATGTATACCTCTCTTCTTTACAATAGAATATTATTAATGAATGCCAAAGAGTGCTCTTGAGCAGAGATCAATCAATACAATCCAGGCTAAGCTGTCTCTTATCTCTTTTTATCAGAAGGGAAATCAATACAATAGCTTTTTGGCAGATTCAACAGCATGATGATCAGTTCTATGAATTTACATACACAACATAGAATTGGTAGCTTGATACCAAGTTCTGATAACATACCACTTACAGAGGTGTGTGTTAGTTCTAAACCCACAGTTATCTTAGCAATTGATTGTAAATTCATTCTAGCATAGATTTTGATCTGTTACATTAATGATACACCCCAAAGGTGAGTCAGATAATATGCAGATGATGTATCTTTCCACAGTGCCAATTTGCATTTTTCTTCATGATTAAGTGAACCTCAAATCAAGACAATGATAATGTCACACCAGGAAATACCTGTGTTTTGATTTTGTTGTTGTAGTGATAATTTAAAATTCAATGCATGAATGTTACCAGTGAGAGTGATAAATCGATACTATCCCTATGCCTAGTACAGGCTGGTGCATCATTATGCACTTTCAAAAACACTTTAATGTGCAGAAGAAAAAGAGTTTATTTCACTACAACATGCTGATTTATTGGGGCATAACATCTTTAGGAAAAACCCTGCATGACAGGCTGTTTTTATATTCTCACTCACTTTAAGCCCATAGGCATCTCAGCATTTTACATAAAGTGAAGTCTAAATGTTTCTAATTTCTTAATGTTCTCTAATCAAATTCACTCTTTCCTTCTCTTTTAAAATAAATTGTAATTATGCCTTTTTTAAAACTTACTTCTATCAAAAATCAATTTCTTTTTTCATTCCATACTAGTTGAATAATAATAATAATAATAATAATAATAATAATAATAATAATAATAATAATAATAATAATCTTTCAAATGGGAGTGTAAAATAATAAAATCTTGTGGTTATATGGTCAAAAACCCAAATTTTCAAGTTAAAGAGGTTCACTTTACAAAGGCCATAGAAAAGACAAAATTCAATGTGGAAGAACATCAAACAATTATCTGGGTTGAAAAGACCTATCATTTAGCTCAGACTTATCACAGTCATCATTAGTCCATGCATGGCTCAGTTATTATGTCCAAAACTGGTTCTCCTATCTGATAGAAAGTCAATGGTCATTAGATAGTTAAGTAACAGGGCCACACTATCATTATTTGACTGATACATATTTTATTTCAATTGCTCATTAAGTATGGTGATACATACATTACTTTCTATCAGTGATTACTCTTAAGAAATCTCTTTTGAGTAGCTGCTGTGTTCTGTTTCACTAAATGATTGTGATGAAGATAGTACATGATCAACATATAGGCTGTCTTTGTACTACACAGATCCATGTAACTGAGATGGTTCTATATAGAACTAGTGTTCCTCTTGATCATGGAGAAAGATGGGTAGAGGCTTCAGTGAAATTGATAAACATTCCAAATTCTACACACCCCATTGTTCCTCATATTACTGGTGGAGTCTACCTTTAAGCCAAACACTTATCTGAAGCCTTTGATCTTCTATGTTGTAAAGGAAACGGGAGGGCTTTGATTGTTGGCAGGATGTTTAAGACACATTTAATTTCTAATAATTATGCCAAGTTACAGAGAGAAAGTCACATGTGATTAGGTTCTAAAAGTAAAGGTGAACAAGTGACTGAACATGAAAAAGTATTAACAGAGTTGATGTTAAACCATCCACTGTCTAGTCTGAGATAACTTCATAGTGTCAGTTATACACAACAGGCTAGTCAACTTCTTTCACAGATGAAATAAATTTTGAACAAATAAAAAAAAAATTTAACATTTTCACTTTCTTATATCAAAAGAAAATGCTTGGGGCATGGTTGAAAATTAAATGCAAAGTATGGATTGGTCCATTCAAAATTATCCCAATTGATAAATTTCTTATTTTCAATCAATGCATATCATTTTCCACTGACATTTTCTGCTGACAATTTTTTTTTCTTTCTCCAAGTATTGAAAGATTTACATTGGTTTCAGCAAATCTCAAAGATGCCAATAACAGACTGAAACACCATCTATTTGAATATAAAAATCAATGACATTAATCAATAATGTACAGAGATAGCATCCTCTTTTTCTGTACAAAACAAAGCACCAAGATTGATCAGGGAGGATGCTCCTTCTTGCATAGCTACATAAAATCTTGAATTAGTGTAATTGCAGAAAGAACCCTTTCAATCATAAAACAGATGAAAATCAATGAGTTTTAGTCAGCAAATGGCTTATGCTTTCTATTTCCATAATTAAAGCTCCTATCATTGATCAATAATTGATTTGAATGTTATTAATATTGCCATCATTTTCCAAAGCTTCAACAACTCTGTCACACTAGGATGCATGCATGCAGGCAGATCAAGCTGCTTTCTATTGAATATTGATCCTCGGAGCAACTACAGAGCAAAACTTTCTCAGGTTTTCCACCCAAGTTGCTGACAGGCTTCAATATCTAGTATGACATGAGCGTGCCTGGTTTTGGTTTTGCAGTAGAAATTTGGGTCAGAGTAAGCTTTGATAATAAATAACTTTTGGAAGACAATCAAGAGCTCATGTCCTATTACAGACTCAGTCAGAGCTGGCATCAATATAACTCGATAGTGCTCAACTAAATAACTGAATCTAATTGGAATTTCCTCCAGCATGCTACACTACACAAATGTCTAAAGGGCGATATCTCACTCTGACAGAGTGCCAGGGTTGGTGCCAGATAGTTCAACCCTATGTGGTGAATCATTCTTTTGATCTTACTCAATGTGTTCCTACAGATGAAAAAATCATGTCTTCGAAGGAGAAGACTGAGAAGTTTTTATCTTCCAAAATATCCATCTACAGATTTATGATGACAATAATCTGTATCTACCAAGCATCATTTCTCTTGGCATTTGTTTTATGACTTTATTCATTGGCCTTTTGACATCAATCGACAGGACTGGTTTTATCAGTAATGTCACTGGTGCATGGATCTTTACCTTTCACCAGACTTAATTTATGGTGTTTTCATCCCTATCGAGTGAAAACATCACGGCAATCAGGACTATCTCAGCGTAACGCTCAGGTGAGCAAGCAGGGAAAGTGGTGACCCGGGTTCACATGATTGCGCACAAACAAACGGGGATGACAGGACCAGGAGATAAATCAACCAAGCCTCCAAGTCATCCTGATCAATAGCATATTTTTAGAGTTGCACGCCAAGCTCCAGGCTATAATTTTTGAAAGGGACTGAAGATTGATGCACCCACCATTGAATAGTGAAAACAATTTAGGCCCTATCTGGAATTTGGTGATAGTCACGAAGAAAACGAGTTTGTCTAGGTTCAGTGTCGGGTGATCAACCAACCGTACTGATGATTCTTTCTGTGCCTCACTCATTTTTGTCAAAAGGAATACACATTTAACCCCATTTTCATTTTTTAACTGCTGGCCCCGAACTGATAACAATCCATAACATTTCATCAACAACTGTAGGCACCAGACACCAATCATTCGTAGTTATCTCCGGAATCTCCCTGCCTGAAGTATGCAGTTAATGACTTGCTACATGTATAGAATTCAAACACAACCAATATCGCCATCAACCTATCAATTTTCAATAAATGTTGACTAGTTTCACAGGACAATGGTTAATCATAAGTGGGTCAGGACAGGCTGGTACAAGTTACAGTTACGACTTTACAGCCACAAGGAAATTGATAGGGGTGTTGAATGTATTGGTAAAAAGGAAAATACATATGACATGATCTAAGTGATATGGTAATAAGAGACATGAATGTATATTTCAGGTTTAGCTGACAAATTATGTGGGAGTTTTTCCTTACCACAATGTCCGGAATAAAACTTGTTTAATAAGTTGTGTTTCTATTTCAGTGAAGGGTTTTTATTAGCATAATCTTTTGCAAATCAAATAAATCCATTAAATACAAGCCAATCCTTCTAATGAAAAAAGACACATAATAAACAAAGCTATTTTATCACTTCATGTCAACACTTTCAACAAGTCTGTTATCAAATGAAAGTTTTTAACCAAATCACCTGTAACTGGAGTTTAACTTAAATCACTTCATTTCAAGGGTAATACAACTCCTGATCCATATCTTAGGTAACTAATATTTACAGGAACAAGGTTCTTGTGTTGATACTTCCTTTTCTGAATAGGTTATCCATCAGCCAAAAACTCCCCAAATTATTACCAAATGTTATCTTAATACATCATCAAAGAGCAATTTGGAAAGAAGTATGGTCCTAAATGGAGACTCTGCCAGACAGAATAATGACAGCTTCGCACTGATAAGCAATGATATATGCATAAAAGTGGAAACAGCCAATTGTTCTGCAGCTGCAATGGGTTGAAAGGCAGACTGACTGACAAGTTTCCATGAAGTTGCAACAGAGTTTAATGAAAATCAATAGTCACCAAATGTGTGTCATCTTTCTGGATCAATACTACAGGATTCAATACTAAAGAGAAGTCAATTACAATTGAGTGGGGGCCCCAAAACCAACCAAGCTGCAGCAGCTGGTTTGGGTTAATCAGACAGAATTGTAATAAGAGACCAAAACTCATTTTATTTCCCAGGGCTTTCAATGATTGATCACCCCACTGATCGTATAGCCTTTGTTGATCAGCAGGAAAATCAATATCTAGCAATGTGCATTTGTTACAGATGACAGGTGGAAAGATGATCAGTAGCATTAGTCAGACTTGTTAGAAAGATGTGCGCTGTGTGCGAGCCCGTATGCAATATAGATATATTGATTAAATTTGGGTTTACCTACGTGATCACTCTTTGTTCAATAAACCCCATCTGAAAGTCGATCATCAGCTGCAGTTAAGTTGTATGATTGTTAACCAGAACAAGAATCAATACCTATTAAATAAAATTTGATGTGCTAACAGATGGGAAGACAATCAAATCTATGTATTTCCTCATTCTAATCCTTTTTCCAACTCACGAAGTATCAATGTAAGTGTATTGATTATAAAGCAATTCAATTTGCCTGAGTTTTCTATTCAATATATGTTTGTGCTGATTTTCCCACATTGCACGGTGTGTGCTTCCAAGCCCGCCTTTCCCTCCAGGCAGTATCTACCATTATCATCATAGCTATGGGAACCAATCCATTTCTACCTCAATAAATCAATCAACATGCTGGGTTGGAGCCAGGTTGGCAATTTCCATGATGAAAGGCATTGATTTTCTTTGTGATCCCAATAGTTTCGACAGTGAATGGTATCTAATTGCACTTGCACCATATCTTCAGGGATTTGAAATTTGTAGAGGATCAAATTCAATAGTGGCTATATTGGCACCAATCAATAGGCTTATCAGAGTCCGTGTTCCCCTTCCCCTGGTTACTTCCTCTGTGTGTTTGTGCATTTAGGACCTGTTCAAACTCATCAATCAATACAATGCTATTACCAGCTGTATCATCCTCTCCTAGGCCTGAATCAAGAACCTACCTCTAGCACTAAAAGTAATGGGGATCAATACATTTAACCAATAAAAACCATCACAAAATTCAGTTGCTTTATCTTCATTTAGTCCTCTGGTTCATTGCTTTCATGCTCGATGGTAATTTCAAAGACAAAATAATCAATATAGCATTATCACTGAAACACAATATTGACTAACATTGTAATGTGCAGTCCATTATCAAATTGCTCACTGCTAAAACTTCAAGAGTAGAGAATAACAAGCATTAATGTTGTTTTTCTTTCCTACCTTTATTTTTGTTTTAATGAAAAGATGCAGGTCTACATGTCATGGAAACTGTTTTTTTTTTTTTTAATTTTTTTCATTTCAAAATATCAGTGACAACTCATCTTTATTTTAGTAAATATATATCACAACATCTAGGGGTAGTTTAGGGTAAAAATGTTATCTAAGTCATTTTTTTAAATTCTTCACTTTACCAATGAAACAACTTGATTCAACTTGATATTTTATTTAACATTTTCAGAAAACTCAAGAAATTTACACAAAATCAACATAATTTAAACATGTACTAATGTAAGTCATATTTGAATAAAATGCAGTACATCATTGCAGTAATAAAGTATAATGATATTCAGAAAGTGACAATGTACACTTAAATAAAAAATCCTGCTTAAAATACATTGTTACCAAAAGCCATACCCACTATACCCTCTCGCAAAGAAACTTAGAAGGAAGAAAAACTATGAAAGTTCTATAAACAAATTCCCCACGTTAAATCGTAAACAAGACGTTCGCTTGATACCAGTCAGTAAGGGCCCATTAGTCTAGGCTAAGATACACCGCCGTTAAGTAATATCTTGGAACCGGTATTCCAGCCACATCATCAATATGTGACAATCATTCGGTCTACACACTGTAACAAATGACTGCTGTGAAGGGTCGGCTCGAATTTCGCTGCTACGTTGTCCATTCATTCTCAAACTTCGCCGCTGTTCGAATTTGCCACCAAAAACTTTTCAAACTTGTTCAAACAAAACTTTGCAGAAGTCCTTCAAATGTGATGGAGTTGTTTCAAAGAAAACAATTTACACAATAACTATCTGCATATTACAGGTTTTCGTTAGTTGGAGTGCCAGCGTAGCACTCGGCCATATTGATTATTCCCTGATACTTTATCAATCTGATCGGAACAGTTTTAAAACAAAGACAACGAAGCCTTAAAAGTATGATCGACGTAACTTCTACGAAAAAACAAACTCTTGCACTTTTTGTATACATCTCTGATGGTTTAAATTCAATCTTACTCACCTGAAGTGTCTGTAAATCAAACTCTTTCCAATACTGACACATCGACTGCACATTTAATGCAGCCATCTTGGTGAACGGGCATCAGAGCTAATCGATTGGTCACGTGACAAAATACGATCGAAAATAGCCTCCAAATCTTGTGTTTACCTCCAGCTTTTCCTCTAAACTCGCCTGTTGGTGTGTTGAGAAGCTCTAGGACGACCCGAATGCAGTTAAACAGTTGAGGCGTGTAATTATGCATTTGAATGAGAGTTTACCCGTGCATTAATTTGATCAATGCGATATAGTTTAGCGGGAGTTTCAAGAGTAACACTTGTTGATGAAACCAATATGGCGGCCTCCAGTAACATTGAGGACTGGCGAAATTTATTGAAAAAACATCCGTTATTTGAGTTGATAGCTTCCAAAAATACGGAGTCCAGGAATGACAATGATTCAAAAGACATACTGACAGTGAAGGATGGCGAAATTTTTATATGGAATGCAGAAGACAGCAACATTCTCACGACGAATTTGAAAAACCTTGCTCTTAACAACGACAGAACATCTGCGTATCAGGTATTTATTACTGATTGGCTAGTTTTAGTCGTTTTCTCGGTTGCTACAATTTTATTTGTTATTATTTGTTATAATATTGATTTTTAATGGGAAAATGATATCAGTGGCGGCTTTAGTAGACTTGTCCAACCTGAGTTTAGAATATGACGTGAGAAGGTAAATTACCTTTATTAATGTTAACTGTCTCACCAGAATATAATGTTATCGGTTTGAAAGAAATTGTTGATTTAGCGCATGCAACATTATCTGGCAGTTTTAGCCATTAGCATGATGTTTTCAAAGAGGCTCATAGTGTACTGTCGACTCAAGCCTTAGTTTTCCAGAATTTCTATTTAAAGTATCTCTTGTCAAGTAGTCTTACCTTAGCTTTATCATAGCAGCAGCAGCTGTATCTTACCTGATATTTATTAATGACAGACGCATCCTTCTATATTAGGTTATGTATGGGAAGTTCTACTGTGCATAGAGATTTTCATAGGCAAGACTTTTAGAATGTAATACCTTATCTGAAGAAAGAAGAAAATGTTAAGGTTGATGTATAAGATTTGTAAAGGTATCTGCCAAATATTTATTGTGGCAATTTCATAAGCTGATGCTCTTTCACAAGTGCAATTGATATAATACATTTCAGGCATTGCTATGCACCAATCCACCCGTTTTTGATGTACAAAGGATTGAATTCAGCTTGACTGGCCACCACTTGGCTTTGATAGGAGAAAGAGGATTAACAGTAGTGCAAATGCCAAGGAGATGGGGAAAGCATGCAGATTTTGAAGGGGGGAAGGAGAAAGTCAGTTCACGGTAAGCATGTTAAAATAAGGTTGTGTAAGAATCTTATATCATGGCAGTGTGATATCCTGGTTAAATAATTGTTTATTACTTTTAAAATCCATTATTCAAACTTGATTTCACTTTTAGGACTGTCAACATTGGTGAACGATTTTTTGCAAGCAGTGGAAATATCAAGCTATTACAGGCAGCCTGGCACCCAGGAAGTGAAACAGACACCCATCTTGTACTTTTAACATCTGATGATTGCCTTAGGTACTTTTCTCTTTAGTTCTTTGAATGACTAGATGTGGTTCAAAAAGAATGAGAACATGATTTTGAGCTGAACTTAACTCCTCCAGTGGGATTTCCCAAGGAGACACTTTACGTAAACAGAATTAATCAAATATTAGAGATCTTTTTACTTGTGATACTGTGTTATTAGTCAGAAATCCTACATCATTGTTTAAATATCTCAGTTGACTACAAAATTGAAAAAATTTTTGTAGTTAATGATTTTAATGTTATCTAAAGTATTTTTCATTGTGCATTTTTCTTACAGGATATTCAATATTGCAGAACCTTATGAGGCTGAACAAACTTTTGCATTATCTGATTACTATGATCATTCACTTGCGGGTGGCAAAACATCAATAATGGCAGCACTTGGAGAGTTGGCTGTGGCTTTTGATTTTGGACCAGCTGTTGAACTGAAGTCTAAAGGAACAAAAGAACAAAAAGAAATAGCTTGGCCTGTTTATCTCCTTCGTGGAAATGGAGAAGTGTATGCTGTTTTAACTAGTGCAGGTTCAAAAAGGTATTATGGTGATACATGAACAGTTGTTTTATTGTTTGTGTTTAAGTACTTTGCAGCCTCAAACAACTTATTGTTTCACATATGAGTAGAATAAATCAGTAGCACAAAGGCTTTCAAAGTCACTCTATTTTTAAAGTAGACCTATAAGATTTTGCATCTAGACTACTTAAGCAGTTTACTGTTTTGGTGTTGTTTTAGGTTGAAATCTAAGGTAGTGGGTCCTTTGACCATGCATCCTCCTGCTGAGGACAACTATGGTACAGATGCCTGCTCTCTCCTGTGCATCCACTCCACTCCACCAGTACTAGTTATAGCTACAAGTGATGGTAATTTGTACCACTGTGTGGTTCTCAATAAGGGCGAGGATGATGATTCTTTAGTAAGTTCATTTACAGACATATTGTGGGCAATTTTATTAAACTAGGGTGACACCAATTATTAGCAGAATTGTGAATCAAGTTTTTTTTATATCTGTTAAAATGTGAATAAAACATGGAAAGGCTCACTTTTTTTCTGGTGTAGGCAGTTTTGAGAGAAACTAATAGACATTGCTCAATTAACCTTGCTGAAACATACTAATGCCTGCAATGAAAAATAATCAGATCACATGTCATCTAATATAATAAAACAATTTATTATTGATATTTGTAGTCTGAGGTATCTTGGACTGGGACTGAAGCCAGCACACAATATGATACACTGTCAGAAACATCACTGTATGTGTATGAGAGAGTGGAACTGGAGCTGTCACTAACTACTGTTGCTGTGGAAACTGATGAGCTGATTGAAGATGATTTTACTTGCCCAATAAGACTGCATACAGGTGAGTTGTTGAAAAAATCCTTGTGGTGGCAAAGGTTTGGGAAAAAAACATCAAAGATCACATTTAAAAAACAGTATAGTAAATTGAGTACCTTTATTCCTGACCATTTTTAATGTATTGCTTTGATGTGAATGTCTGTGTATTTCATGTGCTTTTGAGATGAAAAGTTTTAATATGAATTTCAGATCCAAGTACAAAAGACAGATATCATTGTTTGCACAGTGCAGGGGTACATGCAGTGGTGTTACCTTGGTTAAACAGACTAGAAGATTTTACAGAAAGTAAGTATCAGTCAGTCAAACTATTGAAATGTATCATCTTGCAAAGGGGATAAATTTAGGCATTTCATAGGGGAATTTGATTACATTTGAATTAAATTTCCATTAACATTAGTTTTATTGTTCTCTAAAACCAACATGGTTTTATTCTTACATGATCCAAATTTACAATGAGAGTTTCTTCGAGTTACATCTAAACTATTATTGTAACTTAGTGCTTGATGTAACTGATGAAATTCTTTGCTGGATTGCATGTGATTCAGTCTTCAATTGCTGTATTAAACGTGTTCATCATATAAAATTGCAACTTATAATATATAGGTACTTGCAATTTATTCATTAATCTATTTTCCCATCATTTTTCATACAGGTAGTTCAGAATCTTTACTTGAAGTTGGTCAGCAAGAAGCAGTAGTTGAACACATCATCTGCACAAAACCTTTGCCCTCAAGGTAATTACATATTATTTGACAATGTTTATCATTTTAAATAGTATATAGAAAATCAGTTCTTGATGAGATATTTTAAAAGTTGCTTCCAGTGCATGTGCTATATCTAGGTTAATGCTGTCATTGTTAAATTTGACTAAGTGATAAAATTAACTTATGCTAAAGGAAACCAGTTAAAGACTTGAAAAAAGTTATGTACAATTCATTATGAGTTTAAAATTTTATGTTATGCTCTTCATTCTTGGTTTTACTTAACTTATTGAACTGAACTGTGTGATTTACTACTGATATTTATTTTTGAACAACATGCTAGATTTTAGACTCCCCAAGTGCATTTTTTTTTTTTCGATAAATTTCAAGAATACATGTTTCAGTCCTGCCTGTCCAGTCATGGGGTTAGATATAGTGGACAACCATTTATTGGGAACAACACTGATAATACTTACAGCAGCAATGGAGTGCTTAACTGTACCTTTGGTGTAGGTTTCTTTATGTGTATTTTCTGGTATCTTAAACAGTTTAACATAAGATTTTAAATATAAAGTGTTCATTTACATGTAATGCAGACACTGATTCTTTCTGTTGACAGACTACTGGAAACAGTTAATTTCCCTAAACCCTTATTTTTTACATGACGGCATCTCAGGAAGATGGTAGATATATTGGTTTACAAAAGTAACTTTACTCTTTTTTTTATTTTTTATTTCAGTACCAGCTACAGAAGTTCACCACCACCTTTATTGTCTTCATTAGCCAGTGAAAAAATTCCATCCCCTTTAAGAAGATTGCAGAGAGAGCCATTTGATCAGTACATTAGAAAGATATTACGCAGGGAATCATCAAATCCCTTGCTCAGGTAAAGAGTCAAATTGTAATTTAAATAGGGCACTGGAATGTTTATGAGTTAATGGCCTGGGTATATATATATAGAGAGAGAGGGAGACATTAGTTGTGTACTATGAATGATTAGTCAGCAGCAGGATTCTACATGTCATCACCATGCCATAAGTGTTGCACTCTTCCTTGGAACAATTTCACCACCTTTATGGGCTTCAAAGACTGGTTGTTGTCCTTGGTTCAGAAGCAGTTGAGACATTTTGGTTTTGTGGCTCATGCAATGTACTACTGACAGTATTTTTTTAACTGAACACATACTAACCTGAGATATTTTGTTTAATTTCAGAAGTGCTGGTAGAACAGATCTGACACAACAACAGTGTTTCCAACTACTGAGCAGGGCGACACAGGTGTTCAGAGAGGAATACATTCAAAAGCAGGACTTAGCCAGAGAGGAAATTGAGAAACGGTACTGTGTTCAAAATGTCATTATATATTTATTTGACACATCATTAAACTGTATATTTTACTTTCTTGAAATTTTAAACTTTACATAAACTTACCAATTTTAGACATTTATGTGTATCACATGCAGTTTTGATAATCCGTCCCATTATTTAATGTTATCTTTTTCTTAAACTAAATAATCACATATTTTGATAACAAATATGTCCCATCATAATATGTTTTTTTTTTAATTTTTTGTTTGTTTAAAAAATTGATAACCATGCAGACATTAAGAATATTTATTTATAATGTAGCAAAAGAACAAAGTGCAAGATTTCATGTCAATATTAACAAAAAAAAAAAATCAAACAGCGTGCCTCTGTGAACAAATATAACTACTTATATTTGCTTTTTATTTATCCTTTTAGAGCACATGTACTTAAAGATCAGAAACAGCATCAGCAGAAAGACCTAGATCACTGCAGAATGTTACAAACTCAGCTGACAGAGAATGCCAGAGAATCTGCTGAAAGATACGAAGATTGTGTGGAAAAACAAAGTGAAATACTCTCTAGGTACAGAAAGAAAAAAATTGTTGACATCAGTTAAAAAGCTCGATTTTCAATTTTTATGTGAGATGTATCAAAAACATGATAGGATCCAGTGCATGCTAGCTTTTTCATTTTCAAGCCTCTGTACGTGCAGGTTGGACTCTTGACATTTATAAGCAAGTTTGATTTAAGTTAACTGTGCCAATCGCTAACACTCATTCACTCATTTGGATTTCATGATTCCATAGAATTGCATGTGATGTAGTTATAAAACATCTACCATGTGAGATTGTTGTGGCCAACTTCAGTGAATTTAAGGAATTTGAAATGGCAAAACAAATTCAGGTTGACTCTGAAACTTGGGCAAGTTGGGAATTGATCCACAGAATTATAGTGTTATATTTCTTAAAAAGATGTCAGGTTGAAGATGAAGCAGAGAGAAGTGTAATAAGTAATTTTTATGATTTAAGTTTTCAACTGAGACTTTTGCAGATACAAAATATCATAAACTCAAACCTTGTTCAGTAGAAGACTGTCATGTGTATTTATGTATATTAACACAATTTTAAAACTGCAATTATATAAAAGTTTTGTTAATTTCAGAATACAAAATATTTTACGAAAATTAGAGGAAAGATCTCCAGTTTTGTCCGATGCTGAGAAAAATATGCAGAAGGAACTTAAAGCCATGTCAGAAAAAATTACTTATTTTAAGAAATCTTTAGATTTGGTGAGTATATTTTTAGTTTTAAACTATATGATTGGCACACATTTGCTGGTTTGGGGGTTGAAACATGAACATTCTCTTTTTAATATGGAGATTGCTTTATTATGAGAATTTCTCAATAACAAAACTTTTTATTTATATTTGAAATGGGTTTACTTTTCTATATTGAAGGTTAAGGTTAAAATGAATTATCAAAAGCAGCAGAAGTCACGACAGACAAGAACTTCCAGACCAATGATTAGTGGCTCACAAACAAAGCAATTGAAAAGCGTTCTTAAAGATCAGTATGTATTTTTCCAACTTATCAATTAGACAACTTTTTTTTTCCTATGAGAAAAGGTTTTACTTAAAGATTGTAAATGCAATTCAAAAGTTTGCACTGCAAATTGTTTACTGGAGATGTTATAGAACATTTTAAAATCATGTGTATGATTTATTATTATTTTGTAACTATATGATAAACACTTTCTTATATTTTCATATTTGTGTTTTAAGTAATTAGTACATGTTATTAAGATAAGAAAAGATTATATTTGTTTCTTATTTATTCAACAATCCTATTTTGGTACATTTCAGAGGTGACCAGATAACACAGCTTGTCAAAGAAGTTGGAGAGCTAAAAACCAAACTTGATATTTAAAAAAACAATTTAGAAATATTTCTTTGCTGAAATGGCAGCAAATGTAAACTTAATTTCCAAGGAAATGATTGAAAGCCAAAAGAATATATAAGTTTGCCATAGATGTTGCCACTGGCTTTTAACTGACACGTGCAAGACAAAGAGAGTTATATGCCAAAAGTTTAATGTACAAACTCACTGTTGCATCAGTGCTCATTTGCACAACTGTTTATAAACTAACCTAGCCTTTACAGTATGTACAATTTGTTTCCTCTGATATGGGTTTTTGAAAAGTATGGTCCATATTCTCTATAGAAAAAATGTGAATGCTACAACATATGGTTTGGGGAAACAAGTCTGAAGAGTTATGGTTCCCACGACTGCCCCACTCCAAGGGAGTTTTGTGCTCATATGATGATGTAAGTTCTTCATCAAGTAAGATATGAAATCAAATGCATAAAGCAATATCCCAAAAAATCATTGTTGATACCTTTATGATACCTTTAAAAGTAACTTAATGGTTGAGGTTATTACTATCAGTTGAATATGGAGCCTAGTGAAGTTGATACATTGTTTTTCAGCAAGTGTATATGTCAAAAATGTAAACATTGATGAGAAATTTGCAATGTATTTTTATAATAAAAGTTTTAAATTACATATGTGCATTGTATGTGGTTTAATTTAGGCTTTATTTCTGAAATTGTAAGAAAGTGACCAAGCAGATTCTCTACAAATATGTTACCNAATTGCATGTGATGTAGTTATAAAACATCTACCATGTGAGATTGTTGTGGCCAACTTCAGTGAATTTAAGGAATTTGAAATGGCAAAACAAATTCAGGTTGACTCTGAAACTTGGGCAAGTTGGGAATTGATCCACAGAATTATAGTGTTATATTTCTTAAAAAGATGTCAGGTTGAAGATGAAGCAGAGAGAAGTGTAATAAGTAATTTTTATGATTTAAGTTTTCAACTGAGACTTTTGCAGATACAAAATATCATAAACTCAAACCTTGTTCAGTAGAAGACTGTCATGTGTATTTATGTATATTAACACAATTTTAAAACTGCAATTATATAAAAGTTTTGTTAATTTCAGAATACAAAATATTTTACGAAAATTAGAGGAAAGATCTCCAGTTTTGTCCGATGCTGAGAAAAATATGCAGAAGGAACTTAAAGCCATGTCAGAAAAAATTACTTATTTTAAGAAATCTTTAGATTTGGTGAGTATATTTTTAGTTTTAAACTATATGATTGGCACACATTTGCTGGTTTGGGGGTTGAAACATGAACATTCTCTTTTTAATATGGAGATTGCTTTATTATGAGAATTTCTCAATAACAAAACTTTTTATTTATATTTGAAATGGGTTTACTTTTCTATATTGAAGGTTAAGGTTAAAATGAATTATCAAAAGCAGCAGAAGTCACGACAGACAAGAACTTCCAGACCAATGATTAGTGGCTCACAAACAAAGCAATTGAAAAGCGTTCTTAAAGATCAGTATGTATTTTTCCAACTTATCAATTAGACAACTTTTTTTTTCCTATGAGAAAAGGTTTTACTTAAAGATTGTAAATGCAATTCAAAAGTTTGCACTGCAAATTGTTTACTGGAGATGTTATAGAACATTTTAAAATCATGTGTATGATTTATTATTATTTTGTAACTATATGATAAACACTTTCTTATATTTTCATATTTGTGTTTTAAGTAATTAGTACATGTTATTAAGATAAGAAAAGATTATATTTGTTTCTTATTTATTCAACAATCCTATTTTGGTACATTTCAGAGGTGACCAGATAACACAGCTTGTCAAAGAAGTTGGAGAGCTAAAAACCAAACTTGATATTTAAAAAAACAATTTAGAAATATTTCTTTGCTGAAATGGCAGCAAATGTAAACTTAATTTCCAAGGAAATGATTGAAAGCCAAAAGAATATATAAGTTTGCCATAGATGTTGCCACTGGCTTTTAACTGACACGTGCAAGACAAAGAGAGTTATATGCCAAAAGTTTAATGTACAAACTCACTGTTGCATCAGTGCTCATTTGCACAACTGTTTATAAACTAACCTAGCCTTTACAGTATGTACAATTTGTTTCCTCTGATATGGGTTTTTGAAAAGTATGGTCCATATTCTCTATAGAAAAAATGTGAATGCTACAACATATGGTTTGGGGAAACAAGTCTGAAGAGTTATGGTTCCCACGACTGCCCCACTCCAAGGGAGTTTTGTGCTCATATGATGATGTAAGTTCTTCATCAAGTAAGATATGAAATCAAATGCATAAAGCAATATCCCAAAAAATCATTGTTGATACCTTTATGATACCTTTAAAAGTAACTTAATGGTTGAGGTTATTACTATCAGTTGAATATGGAGCCTAGTGAAGTTGATACATTGTTTTTCAGCAAGTGTATATGTCAAAAATGTAAACATTGATGAGAAATTTGCAATGTATTTTTATAATAAAAGTTTTAAATTACATATGTGCATTGTATGTGGTTTAATTTAGGCTTTATTTCTGAAATTGTAAGAAAGTGACCAAGCAGATTCTCTACAAATATGTTACCTATTTTCGTGTTAAAAACTAAAAAAAAAAAAAACGAGAAAGTGCATTAAACACTACGTCCCTTTCAAGAAACATACAAAAATTAGCTCATAGATAATTTTGCAAATGGTTTTGGTAAGTAAAGAAAAATATTTTAGTTTCAAGAAAATTATGATTTTTGTTTTATATGTTTGTGTGTGTTTAACTCACATTGTATGCCTTAAATAATTTTGAAGCACTGATGTTGTAATCAAAGATGCAATTGTAATTCCTTTTGTGTTTTGATTTCTGATGAAAGAAAGTTTCAAAAGAAAATTAATAAAAGTTAAAATCTTATTAGATAAATATCTTTGGGTTTAATTTTTAGATATGAATATTAATTTAGTATTCAGAAGATCATAAATGTAGCCTGGCCAGTGGCCGATGCTAAAAGCGGAACAACGGGTTGACAGTATAGTCGGTACCTAGCTTTCTCCCTTTTAACACTTTCAATTTCAAGATGGCGGCAGGTCTGAAGCTTTGAAAATCCGTTGTTCAAATTAATCGTAATTTTACAATCAAATTCTATTTAGTTTATGCAAAGATTTTTCTTATTTACTAATATATTTATTTTTTCTTTTTCCGCACCATTCTCTACCTTCCAGACGCTAGGCAGGTAAGTGATCATTATGTTTACATTAGACACCAGGGAGTGTCCGCCAGCCGGGGGCCAAAAACATTTTCCTGTTCAGCTGCTTTTGATTTGTTCAGTCCATACGTGTCCAAAAAGATTCCACATTTAATCTGTCCTTTAATATGCATACATTGAGACAAAAACGGAGGTTAACTTCCGGGTTGTTATTCATCCATCGGCTAATCACGTCAGAATCGGTTTCGGTTATTAACAATGTGTCAATGTGTCATTGCCTGATGTGGCAGCTAGTTGGGGTCTGCCTAAAAAAGAATTACTTCAAGCAGAAAAAATAATATTTAAATTCAGGGGCAACTAGGGCTTAAACTTCGCAGCACACATGAACAGTAGTAGATCTACCACACCTGGGTCTTTTGTTTTTTGACAACTGGTCATTCGTCATCGAAGTGCTTGTTCAAGACTACAAATTGATATCTACTAGTACTACCAGTGGCTTCATTTGTAACGTTCCCAAAATTCATGGTTTTCTGTCTGTGCTTACATACTCTGGTTAGCCTCTGAGTCTCTAACGAGAACAATGGCTGTTTCTCACCCCTGACAATATCCTGCATGGCCATGGGAAACTAATGTGAAAGTTTTTAAAACTCTGTATGAGGCTAGTTTGGATAGACATTTTTATTAAGTGTTGTCAGAAACTTAACATTCAGGATGATGAAGTAACATCACTCCCAACCCTAGGTCTTCAACTGAAGAATAAACTGTGATGTTTGCTACTTAAATTTACATTGATATAATTAACAAGTTTTGAAGTTATTGAAGATGGTCCATCTGAGATGTTTTCAGACATCAAATCTGTAATATTTCTGTATAATACTCTGCCAATTGTGTAGATGATATATATAGATTAAGCTCGTGATTATCTAGGCTAAATATTGCTTTATGGTATGATGCAAGTTGCAGGACTAGAGTTTTTTTTTTTTTTTTTTTCACTACCTGCCAATAAAAGCATGGAGATATAGGTCGTGAGATTATTGAAAATAAAGTATTACATCTGATGAATGATCTGTTCAAACTTGAGCCTGAGCAGAAATACACTATGTACCATGATTTTGTTGGCTAATGATCCTCCTAGGATTGTCAAGATGGGCATTGGCACAAAAATGGTTATCCTCATATAAATGCAAATTAATGCCGACTGTAAACCAAATTTATTAAGATAAGTATAGACATTGGCTCAGATATTATTATCTATCCATTAATTATATCTAGAAAAGCAAACATTTATTTTGGATTTTTTTAATGTCTGCTGTTGGCCATCTTGACTCTTACTAAGAAAATAGCTGTAAGTTTTATCCAAAAAGTCTAATGTTATTCTAATTTGGCTAAGGATATTATAAAATGTTGTACTTTTTTTTTTTTTGCCAAATATAGCATAGGATTAGTTATAATTTTTGATTGGGGGAAATAACCCTGCTATTTGGCTTACAGTAAAGATTCTTCATCCAAGAGTAAATATAGTGATGAGTGGTGTTATATAACTCAACAATGTTGACATCTGGCATACTTTCATGTCCAGAACTAATCATACATTTGTGTTGCATGGAGAGTAGTTTCATATAATTAGTGTCTCAGTCAGACTATAGTCACTGTGTACTAGTACTGAGATGACTGAGAGTAGAAACTCAGATTATATGTTTCAATAATTTATTTGCCACAGTGATTTTGGTGGCTCATAACTTCCTTGTATATGTTGGAGATGAGGATATATATATATAGAAATATAAGTTTGCATTCCTGTTTCAAAGTGAACAATTACTGGGATGCATAACCTTAACAATATAAAGAAACTAAAAAGGAAGGAAAATATATAGTTATTGTTCCAATGGCTAGTTATTAACTTAGTTAATGTTGTTTATGAGGGGTTTAATTCTTAGAAAATTCAAAGTTCCCACTGTGAAAGTGATGTTTTTGTGGTTTCAGTTTGTTAACCCAGAGCAGCCAGGCTATGTGGGATTTGCCAACCTCCCCAATCAAGTTCACAGAAAGTCTGTGAAGAAGGGTTTTGAGTTTACACTCATGGTAGTAGGTGAGTAGCCAGGTTATTATGTTATTGAATTTTGGTGCACTTGTATTTGTAAAAATATATTTAAAAGTATAACTTCTCTGAATTTTATTTACAAGCAAGTATTCATTACCTGTAGTCTACTATGTAACTACTTGATGTGGATTCACACTTGTATTGGTTTTTTAAAAGTGGTATTGATTTATTAAAAGTGTGCATAAGAACTATGTTGCACAATTTGACTCGTGTACCAATTGTATTTTAACACAAAGAAATAAGCCAGCAAAAATACAGACATTTATTAAATAAAATGTTGTGTTTGGGAGGCAGGTGTGTACTATTACCTTAACCCTCCTTTGGCAAAAGATGACCTATCACTGTAACATGATCTGGGTGCAGTTAGCAAGCTCTTACAATTATTGAGAAGGCCTCAACCCTATGAAATCATTAACTATTGGTGTCCAAGATCCAGAAAAAAGGGGACAAAAGCTGATGATTGCTATTTCTTGTGATGCGGTTACACAATAAACCAATCTTGTTGTCAGTTGGGGACAGCATTTACTGTTGACATATACTGTGCTCGTTACAATGAATGGGTTCTTTTGTTGTTTCATGTAATGTATCTGTGTTTGTTATTAGAATGGATTTCTACTCTGTGATACCCTCTTGTGATTGATTAGACTTTTTTCTCTATTGATGTATTATATTGATGATAAATGAATTTATTTTGAATTTTTTCATTATATGCACTTAATTTGTTAGAAGTTATTTAAAAAGAGCAATATTATCTGCAAACATACCAGTAGATTTTGATAGAAGATGAAGTGAGAAGATATAGATGCAAGTAGCAACAGTATTTATTCGCATTCTTAAAGCAGCCCTTTCATACTTAAGATAGAGATCTTGGTCATATCCTATAAATAGTAGCCTTTTTATTAGAGGATTGTGTGTAAAAGGTGATATATCATACTTGTTATGGTAAGTGATGTATGACCATCACATAACTTAGGTCTCCCATTTACATGTGGAATCAGTTGTGCATTGAATTATTCACAGAACACAGATTCTTCTACGATTTCTCATTGTATTAAAAAATTAGATTATTTACCCTCTGCTTTAAGCAGTTAGGGCCACCAAGAATTACTTTGAAAAACTCAACTGGAGCCTTTCACAATTATTGTACCACCAGCGTTAGCGCTGGCGGTACACATGGTTTCGGTCTCGTCCGGATCGTTCCGCCGGCTCCGCCGGCTCCGCCGGTTCCGCCGGCTCCGNAGACTGCCCCACTCCAAGGGAGTATTGTGCTCATATGATGATGTAAGTTCTTCATCAAGTAAGATATGAAATCAAATGCATAAAGCAATATCCCAAAAAATCATTGTTGATACCTTTATGATACCTTTAAAAGTAACTTAATGGTTGAGGTTATTACTATCAGTTGAATATGGAGCCTAGTGAAGTTGATACATTGTTTTTCAGCAAGTGTATATGTCAAAAATGTAAACATTGATGAGAAATTTGCAATGTATTTTTATAATAAAAGTTTTAAATTACATATGTGCGTTGTATGTGGTTTAATTTAGGCTTTATTTCTGAAATTGTAAGAATGTGACCAAGCAGATTCTCTACAAATATGTTACCGATTTTCGTGTTAAAAACAAAAAAAAAAACGAGAAAGTGCATTAAACACCACGTCCCTTTCAAGAAACATACAAAAATTAGCTCATACATAATTTTGCAAATGGTTTTGGTGAGTAAAGAAAAATATTTTAGTTTCAAGAAAATTATGATTTTTGTTTTATATGTTTGTGTGTGTTTAACTCACATTGTATGCCTTAAATAATTTTGAAGCACTGATGTTGTAATCAAAGATGCAATCGTAATTCCTTTTGTGTTTTGATTTCTGGTGAAAGAAAGTTTCAAAAGAAAATGAATAAAAGTTAAAATCTTATCAGATAAATATCTTTGGGTTCAATTTTTAGATATGAATATTAATTTAGTATTCAGAAGATCATAAATGTAGCCTGGCCAGTGGCCCATGTAAAGACTATGCAAAAAGCGGAACAACGGGTTGACAGTATAGTCGGTACCTAGCTTTCTCCCTTTTAACACTTTCAATTTCAAGATGGCGGCAGGTCTGAAGCTTTGAAAATCCGTTGTTCAAATTAATCGTAATTTTATAATCAAATTCTATTTAGTTTATGCAAAGATTTTTCTAATTTACTAATATATTTATTTTTTTCTTTTTCCGCACCATTCTCTACCTTCCAGACGCTAGGCAGGTAAGTGATCATTATGTTTACATTAGACACCAGGGAGTGTCCGCCAGCCGGGGGCCAAAAAACAATTTCCTGTTCAGTTGCTTTTGATTTGTTCAGTCCATACGTGTCCAAAAAGATTCCACATTTAATCTGTCCTTTAATATGCACATATTGAGACAAACACGGAGGTTAACTTCCGGGTTGTTATTCATCCATCGGCTAATCACGTCAGAATCGGTTTCGGTTATTAACATTGTGTCAAAATAACACATTGCCTGATGTGGTAGCTAGTTGGGGTCTGCCTAAAAAAGAATTACTTCAAGCAGAAAAAATAAACTTCGCAGCACACATGAACAGTAGTATATCTACCACACCTGGGTCTTTTGTTTTTGACAACAGGTCATTCGTCATCGAAGTGCTTGTTCAAGACTACAAACTGATATCTACTAGTAGTACTACCAGTGGCTTCATTAGTAACGTTCCCAAAATTCATGGTTTTCTGTCTGTGCTTACATACCCTGGTTAGCCTCTGAGTCTCTAACGAGAACAATGGCTGTTTGTCACCCCTGACAATATCCTGCATGGCCATGGGAAACTAATGTGAAAGTTTTTAAAACTCTGTATGAGGCTAGTTTGGATAGACATTTTTATTAAGTGTTGTCAGAAACATAACATTCAGGATGATGAAGTAACATCACTCCCAACCCTAGGTCTTCAACTGAAGAATAAACTGTGATGTTTGCTACTTAAATTTACATTGATATAATTAACAAGTTTTGAAGTTATTGAAGATGGTCCATCTGAGATGTTTTCAGACATCAAATATGTAATATTTCTGTATAATACTCTGCCAATTGTGTAGGATGATATATATAGATTAAGCTTGTGATTATCTAGGCTAAATATTGCTTTATGGTATGATGCAAGTTGCAGGACTCGAGTTTTTTTTTTTTTTTTCACTACCTGCCAATAAAAGCATGGAGATATAGGTCTTGAGATTATTGAAAATAAAGTATTACATCTGATGAATGATCTGTTCAAACTTGAGCCCGAGCAGAAATACACTATGTACCATGATTTTGTTGGCTAATGAACCTCCTAGGATGGTCAAGATGGGTATTGGCACAAAAATGGTTATCCTCATATAAATGCAAATTAATGCTGACTGTAAACCAAATTTATTAAGATAAGTATAGACATTGGCTCAGATATTATTATGTATCCATTAATTATATCTAGAAAAGCAAACATTTATTTTGGATTTCTTTAATGTCTGCTGTTGGCCATCTTGACTCTTGCTAAGAAAATACTTGTAAGTTTTATCCAAAAAGTCTAATGTTATTCTAATTTGGCTAAGGATATTATAAAATGTTGTACTTTTTTTTTTTTTTTTTTTTTTTTTTTTGCCAAATATAGCATAGGATTAGTTCTAATTTTTGATTGGGGGAAATAACCCTGCTATTTGGCTTACAGTAAAGATTCTTCATCCAAGAGTAAATATAGTGATGAGTGGTGTTATATAACTCAACAATGTTGACATCTGGCATACTTTCATGTCCAGAATTAATCATACATTTGTGTTGCATGGAGAGTAGTTTCATATAATTAGTGTCTCAGTCAGACTATAGTCACTGTGTACTAGTACTGAGATGACTGAGAGTAGAATCTCAAATTATATGTTTCAATAATTTATTTGCCACAGTGATTTTGGTGGCTCATAACTTCCTTGTTAATGTTGGAGATGAGGATATATATATATAGAAATATAAGTTTGCATTCCTGTTTCAAAGTGAACAATTACTGGGATGCATAACCTTAACAATATAAAGAAACTAAAAAGGAAGGAAAATATATAGTTATTGTTCCAATGGCTAGTTATTAACTTAGTTAATATTGTTTATGAGGGGTTTAATTCTTAGAAAATTCAAAGTTCCCACTGTGAAAGTGATGTTTTTGTGGTTTCAGTTTGTTAACCCAGAGCAGCCAGGCTATGTGGGATTTGCCAACCTCCCCAATCAAGTTCACAGAAAGTCTGTGAAGAAGGGTTTTGAGTTTACACTCATGGTAGTAGGTGAGTAGCCAGGTCATTATGTTATTGAATTTTGGTGCACTTGTATTTGTAAAAATATATTTAAAAGTAGAACTTCTCTGAATTTTATTTACAAGCAAGTATTCATTACCTATAGTCTACTATGTAACTACTTGATGTGGATTCACACTTGTATTGGTTTTTTAAAAGTGGTATTGATTTATTAAAAGTGTGCATAAGAACTATGTTGCACAATTTGACTCGTGTACCAATTGTATTTTAACACAAAGAAATAAGCCAGCAAAAATACAGACATTTATTAAATAAAATTTTGTGTTTGGGAGGCAGGTGTGTACTATTACCTTAACCCTCCTTTGGCAAAAGATGACCTATCACTGTAACATGATCTGGGTGCAGTTAGCAAGCTCTTACAATTATTGAGAAGGCCTCAACCCTATGAAATCATTAACTATTGTTGTCCAAGATCCAGAAAAAAGGGGACAAAAGCTGATGATTGCTATTTCTTGTGATGCGGTTACACAATAAACCAATCTTGTTGTCAGTTGGGGACAGCATTTACTGTTGACATATACTGTGCTCGTTACAATGAATGGGTTCTTTTGTTGTTTCATGTAATGTATCTGTGTTTGTTGTTAGAATGGATTTATTTAAAAAGAGCAATATTATCTGCAAACATACCAGTAGATTTTGATAGAAGATGAAGTGAGAAGATATAGATGCAAGTAGCAACAGTATTTATTCGCATTCTTAAAGCAGCCCTTTCATACTTAAGATAGAGATCTTGGTCATATCCTATAAATAGTAGCCTTTTTATTAGAGGATTGTGTGTAAAAGGTGATATATCATACTTGTTATGGTAAGCGATGTATGACCATCACATAACTTAGGTCTCCCATTTACATGTGGAATCAGTTGTGCATTGAATTATTCACAGAACACAGATTCTTCTACGATTTCTCATTGTATTAAAAAATTAGATTATTTACCCTCTGCTTTAAGCAGTTAGGGCCACCGAGAATTACTTTGAAAAACTCAACTGGAGCCTTTCACAATTATTCTTAATGTTTTTACAGTAATAATCAAAAGAAAAAAAGTTAACTCATGTTTTGAATTTTATGGGGGGGGGGTGGAGCATTATGTCAACTTGACTGTGAAGATGTTAAAATTTCAAATTGATCTCCAATTTACTTTAATGCAAATGTCATTGTTTACACCAGACTTCATTTATTGCAATTAGAACGTAAAAAAAACTTCTACAAAGGCTTGCACTAAATTTTTATATATAAATATCTTTGGATATGGATTAAGGTACTAGGGTGATTTTTTTTCCTCTCGCTCATCTTGTTCACTGTTTGTTTTAGAAAAAATGTTAGCAAATGCATGCTTCTATAAGGACTTGAAGGAAAATTTCTAAACCTCAAAGCAGATTTGAGTCATTAATAGACACATTTTTTTCTGTTTAGTCATGTATTGTCATTTATCAGATGGGTGGCATGAAGCATTTTAAATCAATAAATCATAATCATTTAATGATTATAATTAGGTCAATTAGTATAAATCTTTCTACTTGCTAAGTTGAAGTGATTGATGATGATTTTAATGCAACGAGATGTTAAATGGAAAACAAATTGGATTAATTATTATTGCATTTGATTCAGTTAATTATACTTCATAGTATCTTTTGTAGGAATGTTCACAAGGAAAATCTATATATTTTAATCAAACGTGTACTTATCTTACAGGGATATCCCAATCAGTTGAATAAGTAATAAAAACTTTGCTCAGTGCGAAAAAACATGAAATGTTTAAAAGTTGTTAGGGATTTTAGCCATAAAAAGAATATTTTCTATGACTACATTTATTCCTGTGGCCTGTTTGCCCCCTTCCTTTGTCTTAATAAGCATCTGAGTTTAACATCAGACAAAAATTATGTTAATGTTATCAGTCTAACCACATGTGATATTGACGGGTGACCTGGAAGTGGCAGGCTTTGTTTGGCATTCCTCACTGTTTTATATCAGTCTCAGACATATGGGGACAGTTAATTGGCTGTGTACTGTATGGGTCTGATATTACAAGACAAACTTGTTTTTTTCCCCTCAGACTTGAGAAATAAACATATCATTGTTGAAGGAATAGTGGGAAAAAGGTCAATTATCTGAGATTTGTATATTTGTCGACATTAAATTTGGTTATTAAGAGAGCTTTTTTGCTTAGATTTTTTTCTTTATTATTTATTTTCTGTGGTACATATTAGTTGTAGAAGAAAAACAAAGGTGTTTACATATAACCTTGTTTGACCTTCAGATGGATGCTTTTTAACTTTATTCACTCTTTTTTTTTTTTTTCTTTTTTTTTAATTTAATTTTTGGGTCCAACCCAGCCTCTTCTTTGATCTTTGGAGACTTTGTCAACTTAGATTCTGTAAATGATTGCTAAGAAATATGGCCATCTTGTCATGAAAACTGAGGCTTTGTTGGAACAGTAGTGCTATATGTCAAAATAATATTGGTTGGTCATGACGTATGCATATGATATAGTATTTTCACATAGACCTGCATCTTGTTTATTTTTATGGATAGTAAGTACATTTCAAAGAAATGTATATGAGATCATGTGAGAAATAGTACCTGGATTATATGATCTTGGAAGCTGGTCCAAATGACTTTTGACATGGTATCTGAAATACTTGATTGCTATCTGATCCTAATGCTGTGTGTGGTTTGTGTTAGAATCTCACCAGCAGTAATATTGACACCACACTGTACAGGATGTCTAGACTGCTTTTTCCAGTCCCTGTTTTCTGTCTGTCTATTATGGATTTTACTAGTAATAGAAACAGTCCTTCACAACTTAAACTTTTCATATATATTTTAAATATAAGCGTAAAATTTAAATTGCTTAACATTTTAGCAAAGGGTGTCATTACAGTGAAAAAAAAAACTACAGTTGGTATCAATTCGAATTAGGGTAACAGAATTATCCAAAAAATATGAACTTTATACTGATGAAGTTAGAATTTGATTTGCCTTCCAGTTGCAGAGGTCAAGCCAAAATTAAAAATAAGGATGCATAATATTGATACTTTTTGTTTGATTGTTATTTATTTATTTATTTATTTATTTATTTTTTTGTTTGTTTGTTTGTTTACAGGAGAATCTGGTCTAGGTAAATCAACCCTTGTAAACAGCCTATTCCTGACAGACCTTTACCCAGAGAGACATGTACCTGGGGCTGCAGGTGAGTATTATACATATATGAAACTAGTTAGTCTAGACATTTGTCAGGGTAGCTCAATTTTCCTTATTAAACTGTCAACAAATAAATAAATAAATGGGCCATCACCAAAATATAACTGGTTCTAAGTTACCCCATTTCTGACCTATCCTGAAAATTTTATCAAAATTCATCCTTAACTTTTCAAGTTGGGCTATTAACTATCAAACCAACAGTGGCAAAAAACTCAACCTCCTTGGTGGAGGTAATAATTGTCAGGCAATGTTGATAGATTTATTTCTGTCTTGATAGCAAATAATATGATGGTCAATATTTGTTCTCGGGTTAATAATCATTTTAAACATTAAAATGTGTCAAATTTGACTGTGTATCTTTTTCATAAGAAGTAAATGAAATACATATTTTCATGTGCAGTTATATAACAAATACAAATGTTACACTTTGAGTTGATAATAAAGTTGCAACCAATGCACAGAATTGCTTCTTTTCATGAAAATGCACTATTGATTTCTTTTCCTCAGAGAAAATCAAGCAGACTGTGAAAATTGATGCTTCCACAGTAGAGATAGAGGAGCGGGGTGTGAAGCTCAGACTGACTGTAGTGGACACACCAGGGTTTGGGGATGCTCTGAACTGTGAAGATTGGTAAGATATTTCCCTAGTGTCAACTTCACCATATGTTAGAAACTCATTTGGGATGCCTTTAAGGTATCCTATCGGTTTTTTTTTTTTTTCACCAAGTCAAATTTTCAATGGAAAAAAGTAAATTTCTACAACTGAAAAATCATTGCATGGCCCATCTCTGCATTTGGATTTGATGTTTATACCATTTTGATTAATTAATCTAGTTCTGTATGCCTTCCTGTGTCTAAAGGAAACATCAAAATACTTTTATTGAAGGGGTTTTATTTTCAAGATCTGAATTGGGAAAGATAAGTAACTTTATAGGATATGTAGTCATAAAAAATATGATTTTGGGATATTTTTAGATTTATATAGTATACCTTAAAATGTTTTAGTTATGATGTAAAAATCTGTGTTTGTCACCTTTTTCTCGAAATTTTAAACCAGCTTAGAAAAAGTGTGTGACATAAAATCTAAATCAAAGGTAAATTCTATTTTGTGAATACATCTATAATTCTTTAAGATAAATCCTTGGACATATTCTATATATATATATGTATATATCATTCAAACGCATTCCACAACTATTTTATATAACCTATTTTATTTCCAGTTATAAACAAGTCATAGCATATATAGATTCACAGTTCGAAAGATACCTCCAAGATGAAATGGGACTCAATAGGAGAAATATTGTGGACAACAGAGTTCATAGTTGTTTTTACTTCATTAACCCTGCAGGACATGGGTAAGATTTTGTGAGCACTTGTATTTAGATTTGCTTTATCAGGGTATGGATAAAGCATTCACCAAGTATGATTTATTATTTTATACATAATGCATCAGTTTTAGCCTATTTTTGGCAAATAGTGGAAAAATTAAGTTCTGACCATTTCACATATTTGAAATGTATTGCTTGTAAGTAAATACTCAGTGGTATGTGTTATTTATTACATCTGGGGAATTACCAATGATACCATCTGACAGCTCTTTGCAAAATTCTTTCTGGTATTTTAAAAGATAAAGAATGAATGAAGAACAGAAATGGTGATAGTGTAAAAAGTAAAATTGGACCCATTGCATATAAATATAATTCACTTTTTATGTTCAGATTAAAACCTCTGGACATTGTGTTCATGAAAGCTATCCACCACAAGGTGAACATCGTGCCAGTCATTGCTAAGGCAGACACCCTAACAAGGGAGGAGGTGTTCAAACTCAAGTCCAAGGTAGAAATTGCCGACAACAGAATAATCCAAATATAAGTGAAGGGCTTAACTGTAGTTAAGATACTGAGAGGATAAATTCACTTGCATATATTTATTTGAAATATATCTCTTTTGTTACTTTCATACAATATATTACATATTTTGAAAAAATTATACACATTTCTAAGATACTAAATTCAGAAGTTTTTTGTGGAAAGAGAGTAATTTGTATTAAAGTGCTTTTGTTAAAGTATGGAACAAAATAAACCCATGAACAAGTGCTTTTTTATTGATGCCAGATAATGGAAGAGATAGCAAAACATGGGATCAAAATATACCCACTTCCTGATTGTGATGATGATGAAGATGAAGAATACAAGGAACAGTGCAGACAGCTGAAGGTGATTTTCTCCTGAGTTTCATGGCTAGTTATACCTAAATCATTTTAATTTTGTTTTGAATCTTTTCTCTCTTGATAATGCCTTCATCATGTAGTTTACATTTTTCTCTTGATTTTCTCTATTTTCAACTTAATTTGTTACTGTGTGAAACCTTCAGAAACAATTTGATCTTGAATCTGTATGTGCCATTCATTATATTTTTCTCTTTGCACATCAGGCAGCGGTACCTTTTGCTGTAGTAGGGTCCAACTCCATAATTGAGGTGAAAGGTCGCAAAGTCAGAGGTCGCATGTATCCATGGGGAGTGGTGGAAGTGGAAAATCCTGAACACTGTGATTTTATCAAGCTAAGGACCATGCTCATGTGAGTAGTGAAAAAATGAACGCAAAATGGTAATTTTCAAAAGTTGATTACAAATGGATTCGGGTGTTTCTGGTGTAAATGTTTGGGTTAGGTAATTGTCATAAGATGTGTATTTGAATTTAGATGTTTGGTTATGTTAACAGTAATACTTCATACTACTGGTTGTTTCTCAACAGTTATTTTCCTGTTAAGCCCCGAAAAAGATGTAAGGTGTAAAATTTTTGTCTTTTCAAGTGCTCATATGCAAGATCTTCAAGAGGTCACACAAGAAATCCATTACGAAAACTTCAGATCTGAGAAACTGGCAACATCCAAGAGGACTAGGTGGGTGGTGTTTGTGGTACTGGTTTAAGTGGAAGATCTTAAATGTAACATATTTAAATGCATATAGCTTAAAAAATTGAAATAACAGTACCATTTTGTTAAGCAAAACTTGGTTATTCTCTTATTAATTTTTTTAAGAGTAAGTTAAATTGGATTAGTTTGTGTTTGATTTATTTTTATGCTGTGATGATTACAATATTTATTTAAAAACATGAGTGTTACATGAGTTTTAAAATAGCTTTTTAATTGTCTAAAATAAACAGATTTCTTTTCAGCACATAAATTAAGTCAAACTGCAAAAATTGCCGTTGATTTTTAAGTGTTTTATGTTGCGGTGCAACTCTTTCCCTCATATTGAGTGATTTTTAAATCAACCCAAAATGGTTTAACACATGTAGCATTCATACACCTTAATAATAACAGTAAAATTTAAGTGTTGTGCTTAATGCAGATTAAGTATACAGTTTGGCCTGTACCTGCTATTTAATCAAATAGTGTTGTGGTTATTTGAAGTGGTGTTAGTGGATTAGACAAAATCAATTTTGAAGTGCTTATTGTTATCATATATATCTGTTCAGTTATTTCTGTGGTGCATGAGTTGTTTGGGGTGATTCATAGATACCAAAAATAATCAAGAACATACCAAATGCATCAAAAAATTAAACTGCTTGTTTTAGTTTGACATTGTATATCAGAGAATATTAATACCACAGCAGGTAAGAGTAATGAATCCTTTTGTGATATACAGTCCCTTTTCAATATTTCTGACTGGCAATTTCTGAGTGGTGCATGATGGGAAGTGTGTTGCTTTGTATTGTGAAGGATGTTGCAAAATGTGTAAATATATATTTGGACAAAAGTAGCATTGTTGACATGTATAATATGGTGCAATGCTGCATCAGTGCAGTGGCCATATATTATGCTGAATATGTTAATGGTTCTGGACACTATTTTGTTCAATATGCTGTTATGCCTAAAAACTTTTGATATATATGCAGATGCAAATTTGGTCTCTTGGTATTAATGATGCTTGTGTTTACAAAATGAAAACTGAAGATTGTTTTGCTTATCAGTCATTAATTGGAGTTGACTTCTGAATTACGCAAGTTTTTATCCAAAGCATGTCAGTGCATCAGAGGACTGCAAAGGCTAAAATGCCTGTGTATATGTGGCACTGATCTCTACAGGGCTATTTTTGTATGTTTATGTGCTGTATTTATATTGCATCTAAGCTCTTCCTTATCCTCTTGTTTTAAGCTATTTTGTTTGCTTTTTGATTGAAAACAAGTATTTGTCTTTTTTTAAGTCTAAGCTTGAGTCATATAGCTTGAAAGTGGCATGTTTGCTATATAAAAGTACAGAATCTGTTATTGTTTACATAAGCTAATGATTTGTTCCACCTTTTTTCTTTTTCTTTATGCGACCCAATTTCACCTAAATTGGTAAGGACCAATGTAGTGTTTTCCCTTTAGAATTAAATTTACATGTTTTTCTATATGTGATAGACAACATCTTTTTTTACATTTCAAATATACAAAGTTCTGTTATGTTCTTTCTGTGAATTATTTAACAATTAGAGTAACATTCTTTTATAAAAAGGGTGAATGTTGGTTCCTGTGTCTGGATGTAAAAAATAAGCTGTATGTCAGTATCACTATATTTAGTTTTCTAACATATTTAATGGTGTGATTTTTCAACTTGGTCAATTTTTAACATATGAGTAGTATATTTTGTGACCCTGGATATGTGTGTAACTGAATTTGTACTGAATATTTAAGTTCCACTTCATAATAATAAGTTTTTACTTATCCAATAATTCCCTAACAATACCTGGAGTGACTCTTGGGATGATAGGCTTCCCTTGTTCAAATTGAGTGGTTAATTTAATTCATCACTGATTCATTTACATACTTCTTACCCCTGGTTGCATGAAGAGGTGCTGGTTGTTTTAGGGTGTATATGAAATATAGTTTCAATCAGTTTATTTTAAAAAAAAAAAAGAATTTTGGGAGGGCAAATAACTTGAAATGTTACAAGATATTCATGAAAAAATACCTTAAGGAAACATTGTTTTTCCCTTTCCTCATTCATCCCCCTCCCATCCTCCTTCATATTTTCAGCTTTTTAATTATTTCCAAAAACAAAACTTTTTTGAACTATGTATGCATTTTCTTTTTAAATGGATTGCTTGTGATGCTTATTATTGTCCTGTATGTTCTTAATTATTTGAAAAAGTATCAAGTGTGAACTTAAGTGTAAAACCCACTGCTTTACCCCCCCCCTTTCCTCCTGTGACTGTTTGGGTTCATACATTTCCTGCCAAAGTCAATNTAATTTCTGAGTGGTGCATGATGGGAAGTGTGTTGCTTTGTATTGTGAAGGATGTTGCAAAATGTGTAAATATATATTATATTTTACATTTGGACAAAAGTAGCATTGTTGACATGTATAATATGGTGCAATGCTGCATCAGTGCAGTGGCCGTATATTATGCTGAATATGTTAATGGTTCTGGACGCTATTTTGTTCAATATGCTGTTATGCCTAAAAACTTTTGATATATATGCAGATGCAAATTTGGTCTCTTGGTATTAATGATGCTTGTGTTTACAAAATGAAAACTGAAGATTGTTTTGCTTATCAGTCATTGATTGGAGTTGACTTCTGAATTACGCAAGTTTTTATCCAAAGCATGTCAGTGCATCAGAGGACTGCAAAGGCTAAAATGCCTGTGTATATGTGGCACTGATCTCTACAGGGCTATATTTGTATGTTTATGCGCTGTATTTATATTGCGTCTAAGCTCTTCCTTATCCTCTTGTTTTAAGCTATTTTGTTTGCTTTTTGATTGAAAACAAGTATTTGTCTTTTTTTAAGTCTAAGCTTGAGTCATATAGCTTGAAAGTGGCATGTTTGCTATATAAAAGTACAGAATCTGTTATTGTTTACATAAGCTAATGATTTGTTCCACCTTTTTTCTTTTTCTTTATGCGACCCAATTTCACCTTAATTGGTAAGGACCAATGTAGTGTTTTCCCTTTAGAATTAAATTTACATGTTTCTCTATATGTGATAGACAACATCTTTTTTTACATTTCAAATATACAAAGTTCTGTTATGTTCTTTCTGTGAATTATTTAACAATTAGAATAACATTCTTTTATAAAAAGGGTGAATGTTGGTTCCTGTGTCTGGATGTAAAAAATAAGCTGTATGTCAGTATCACTATATTTAGTTTTCTAACATATTTAATGGTGTGATTTTTCAACTTGGTCAATTTTTAACATATGAGTAGTATATTTTGTGACCCTGGATATGTGTGTAACTGAATTTGTACTGAATATTTAAGTTCCACTTCATAATAATAAGTTTTTACTTATCCAATAATTCCCTAACAATACCTGGAGTGGCTCTTGGGATGATAGGCTTCCCTTGTGCAAATTGAGTGGTTAATTTAATTCATCACTGATTCATTTATGTACTTCTTACCCCTGGTTGCATGAAGAGGTGCTGGTTGTTTTGGGGTGTATATGAAATATAGTTTCGATCAGTTTATTTCTTTAAAAAAAAAAGAATTTTGGGAGGGCAAATAACTTGAAATGTTACAAGATATTCAGCTTATGAAAAAATACCTAAAGGAAACATTGTTTTTCCCTTTCCTCATTCATCCCCCTCCCATCCTCCTTCATATTTTCAGCTTTTTAATTATTTCCAAAAACAAAACTTCCTGAACTATGTATGCATTTTCTTTTTAAATGGATTGCTTGTGATGCTTATTATTGTCCTGTATGTTCTTAATTATTTGAAAAAGTATAAAGTGTGAACTTTAGTGTAAAACCCACTGCTTTACCCCCCCCCCTTTCCTCCTGTGACTGTTGGGGTTCATACATTTCCTGCCAAAGTCAATCACATACCTGAAAATGTACAAAACTAAATCAATAAATTTTCATTTTTTGTAATGCATTAGGTAATTTTGATTTTGATACTTTTCCATTAGATGCACTGGTTTGCAGTCATATTTGAGAAAAAGTATAACATTAAACTTACAAACAAGCAGATCTGAGTGCAAAAGTTCTTATAGTTTTTGTCTAACCACATGTTACAGTATTTACTAGTGTTAGAACTTACCTGTAAAACCAACAGTTTTCATGGTTTGTTGCAAAACCAGTTGCAAAGAACAAGAGCTGATGATTTCTGTTTTACCTAATTCAATTTTTAAAACCTTAGACACCACTTTAAAGTTAAGACTTATTATTTTTTACTTTCTTTTTAACCTGAGTGTGTATAAAATGCTGACGGTCATGTAACTATTTCCAGTAAAACCTCCTCCCGCACCAGCAGAGCTGAGGGTGGTGGTGGTGGTGGAGACAAGGAGGACAAGTTGACAGAGAAGGAAAGACTGCTGCTGGAGAAGGAAATGGAGGTATATGTTATTTTGTTATTTTGTTATTTGGATTCTAGGTCTGAAGTTTAGGTTAAACATTGAGCTTTTTCTTGTTATGCCTAGTATTTCCAACTTTTCAGCAGAATGCAAGACTTACAGCTCAGTTGCTTTTTTGAATCCAAAAAACTATTTCAAAACAAAAATTTCAGCAATTTCAAACTACATTAGTTCTTCAACATTTAAATCAGGTGAAAAGCCCTTGGCATTCTTGACATTTTTACCTTGCAAATAATTGCAACATTCTTTTGTAGATATGCAATTAGGCTATTTCAAAAACAAAGTAAGATTTGAGACAATGCTTATTCTATCTCTTAAGCCATATAAAGCATCATTAGGTATCTGTATAAGGATATTATTATTTCTTTTACCTCTGCACCTATGATATGCCTATAACTTTTCCTTTCTGGAGTATTCAATAAAATTCAGAGCACTGCTATTTCTAGTTGCGTCACATGCAAGAGATGATTGCCAAAATGCAGGCAGAAATGGCAGGGGGTAAGGGAGCTGCTCCTTCACAAAATGGAAGACCAGCGCCTGGTGTCAAGTCACACAATGTCTAGAGATAACCGGTTAAGCTAGGGTATCAAATTATAATATTTTAAACTTTTAAGTTGTATAACTACAGTCAACTTTGATGTAGAGTTTGATATAAGATCTGTAGATGATAAGTTATTTTACAAACTTAACCTGGGTCCCAATTTGCTTATGTTCAATAAGTTATATTGCATACATGAACATGTACTCAATGTATGTTATATCCAAATTTAAATGTACAGATGTATATATATGTCAAATTTAAAATATACTCGTGGAATTATGGTGATGAAATTAAAAGAAAACTACTATAGTATGTATATCATTTTTTGTTTAGCTTTGATGCATATTTGTCAATCATTTCATTTTTCAGAGATCAAGAAGAGGACACTGTACAATCATTTTAGTTTATTTGTCTTCTGGCTAAAAAATTGTTCAGAACAAATGTTTAACTCTAAACTAGCAGATTTTTACAATACTCAATAGAAAATTCTGCCTTCACAAGTGTACAACTTATTTAATCTGCAAAGCTGAATATGTTGCATAAAAGCTTGTAGGTGCCAGAACCAATCTCTTTTTGCATATTAAACTTATGTGAACCATGATTTGAGAAAGACACTCATATTACACATTATGCCATAGTGACTTTTACTTTGTACAGGTAAGCTTGCAGACCAGCCTTACTTTGAATTGGGTCTCACTGTGTGAATCTGAATATTTATAGGAAGCCAACTTGAAATGAAGTCTCTTTGGTTGAATATAATACTTTCATTAATGGAAGTTCCTTGTTTAAGGCTTATTTATGTTTTCCCTAGAAATGTCACATTAAGCATGCATTCCGTAAATCAGACTTGATCTGTAGATGTAGATGCTGTCAAACTGAATACTGTCAAGTTTTGTAGCTAAGATAAAACACAAAACTGGAATTGGTCATAAAGACTCCAACAGTATTATTAGTTGTATACATTATTGTAGAATTTCAGGGGTTTGAATTTCAGTAGCTTTTAGTTCTAGTCATATGTTTGCAGAAGTGTTTTACAATTGTTAGCTTAAAGTAAATAGATTACAGTAGGAATGCTTTAAACTTATTTCACAAAATGAGCAAATGCTTGAAGATAATGGCACCTTAACAATGCCTGTGAGAAAAAATTAATTTACAGTCTATCTTTTGCAAAAAATTGATTTTGTTATTAATCATTATGATTGCCATTCATACAGCTGAAGTTTTGAGCATGTAAAAGGGTGCTCATCTAGAAAGATGATTAAAGATATGTGATTGGTTTTTTTAAAGAACTAATTTTTAGTGACACTACTAAAATAGTTAATTTTGAGAGACGGCTTATTTCGGGATGGGAAATGATTAAAAAAAAGGAAAGAAAAGTTGTATGAAGATGGAACCGTAAGGCCTCACAGCATATCCTGGATTTGATACATCATATTTGAAAACTGATATTGATAGCAAACTGAAGACTATAGAGGATGGATCTATCAAAGCCATGCAGTTTTGCACATCAGAACACCATGGGAAGCACAGGGGGCAAACATGCTTGTGATAGCTGATGATAGTAGATGAGGCACTCAGAACAGCTGGCAGAAAACACTGTTGTAATAGGAAAACCTAACAATGAAGTCAACAGTGTGTACAGTGTGTAACATAATTTAGTTATTCCTTATGTGTTTAATCAGCAGAAGAGTAGAGAGTGTGTTTTGTGTGTATTGTGTGATACATAATCGTTAATAATGGGGAGACAGATGCTGATGTTTTGTCAAATGAAATGTTGCATGTCAGGATATTACTACTTTCAGTGGTTATCCCAGTGACTAGAAGATGTACTGATTTTATGATTAGTGGACCATAGAGATTGAAAGAGACATGGGCAAGGGTATCTTATTTGATGTTCTAGTGATTAAACAATGTTTCAGGGGTCCATTCATGATGCGCATGAGATTCTTGTTCTTCTTTTGTTAGAAAGAAAAGAAACATTGCATTCATTACTGAAGTTTGCACATGAATTTATGTGAGAAAATGACACCAAATATTTCCCTTTTGTATGAAATTGCCTATGTCAGTTTGTTATTATTTCCTTTATTATAGGGTAATATTCTGTTGTCTAAGAAAGAATGGCAAAGGTGAAGAATAATGTACTACTTACAACACTTAAGAACAAAATAACTTGGTCACAACAAGAAAGTGTATTCAAATTTGCTTTATGTCCTTTTGCAGGAAAAAGATTCCTTTCATCTCTGTAACATAATGGATTTTAGTAAGAGCACTAATGCAGTGCTAGGGTTCTAGGCATTTATGTTTAATTCCAAAATCCCTGGACAATTATTTTACAGTGTTTAGGGTATGGACTGGGCTTCCCTAATAATGGCACGGAAAAAATGTTGACAATGAAAGTAATTATCGAAGCTGGTGCTTTTTTGCAAACTGATATAAATACCTTTATATAGGGCTTGTGAAAATATGTATGGCCTTTTACAGTTCCAGTTATTCCAACACTCAACAGCCAAGGTTGTATTATACACTATTATATAGTAGATAGAGGTTTGTCCAATAAAAATTTGAAATTATTGTTTTCTTTTTCTTCCATTATTGTTTTCTTTTTCTTCCGTTGATAATGCCTCAATCGTCAAAACTGCATTTTACAAAATAATTATTCAGGAATAGATATTATTGCACAAACAGGTGATTATCAAGAATGCGTGTTGAAAAATGGATAAAGATTTTTTTCTTCAGTTCATATTTGGATAACATTTCTTCAGGTCTTTATCATTAAATTAAATATACTTGGTAAGTGATATTTTAACCCTATTCTTATTTTCATATATTGATTTTGTCTCACCTGGCACTGACTAATCAACGTAAATGGGTTTTTTATTCACGCAAGGAAATTGTAAAGAGAACAATGGAGGGTTTTTCTCATTGATCTAAACAGATTGGATCTGAAAGCCAAACTGGAAGAAAGAAAAGGTAAATTGATATAAATCTATTTAGAATTTATTCAACATTTGGGTATGCTCCTCAGAAGTACCTTTCATTGGATTTTCTTGTTGAATTGGTAATAGATTAACAACATGGTTTTGAAATATGAATAAAATCTGACTCATTATAGTTTGTGATCAATATTACAGTGGATGGTATAAAACAATATTAATTGGTTTCATGAACTATGGCTTGTAGGCTAGAATTTGATGAAGCTGCCCTGAACAAGAGAAACACTGATTTTGCTATTCTCAGTAGAGAAACTTGCACTTGTGATAATTGCCATTGTGGACTACTGGCTCTTTAAAAGGTGAGTGGTGGTGCTGCCTTTTTTTTCTAAGCAAAACTTAAGTGTTTTCATTCATGTCTAACATCTGTTCTTGGCTACCATGATAGTTATTTCAAAAGCCTTGTAATAGGGCCACTTAACTGTCAGTTTCTACTGCTATATGGTTATTTTACTGTTTACAATACCACAGTAACTTTTTTTTTCTTTTTTGCTTTTGCCAAAAATCAAATATGTAGATGGAACCTGTTATATGTTATATAAACTGAGGTGATAGATAATTTGGTCAAGCAGTAATTTCATGAGCACATGTATGTGGATGATCTACCCATACAGCAATACCTAGCTGCAGTAAAATGTGGTATAAACATTTCAGCAAAAGCAGTAGATCTACTAGAGGGCAAGGGATGTATTGATTGATTCTGAACAAAGCCTAGGGCAGAGCTAGCAGACGCTAAGCCAATTACTGAGACAGACAACGCAGAGCACAGAATACTGCAATTCAAGGGTTTATTCGATTTTGCCTAATCCTTGCATATTGGAAGCTCACAGTTATATGGAGAATAATTCTAAATGGATTTTTTTTCATAGTGGTTCCCATGGTTACTAATTACTGAAGGAGCCAAAACATAACCAAGGTAACAGTATGGATAGACTTTTATGTCTGTGTGTGAATATTTCTAAGGTGAATAAAAAATGTTAACTTGTTTCTTGTGGGTCAACGACTAGTTGCTATTTTGTAAAGGAGTATATGCCTGTTTATTGGCACTGTGTGTGCATGTATGTGTGTAAGAGAGAGTGAGAGAGAGACATAGATAGAACCCAATTCTTAAAGATGTAATATTGTGTCAATGTTTTATCTTTTTTATTTCAGTGTACTTCGCAGACAAAAATAACAATTTTCAGCTTTGAATGAGTGACAGCAGAATGAGTTCCTTTATTTCATCCATGTCACCAACTCTTAGACATGGTAAGTTTTATCCAACTTTCATTGCATCTGCATTTAACTCTATTCACTTTATATTAAACTATATCATGTCCCATGTAACATATTTATAGCCATTTTAACAGTTGGCTTAAGGCTAAGATGTTATTAATTAACAGCTTGCCTAGTCTCAAGCCTGTATGTCCAACAGATGTCACTGATATTTTCCTCAGCCCAGTATAGTCAATATAATATGGCCTTGCACCTGGTACCAAGTGTAGTTAACAAAATGCCAGTCACCTATACCATGACTTGCTTGCTTCTTTATGGAATGCACTTGTCTGCAAGTTAAAGTTTTGTATAAGAAAGTCTTCAACACATATAAATTTTATATCATTGTCACAGAAAATAGAATTCAACAAAAGGAAACTCAAACTTAATATTTTGGTGCATCACAGTAGTCTGACTTACTGGTCTGAAGATTCACAGGTCAGACATTATTTTAATGTGGTTTGAAGTGTTATAAATGCTTACATTTGGCAAAATAGCTTTTTTCCAGCTTCTTTTTTTTTATCAAATACTTATCATGATGTAAGTGCAATAAAAATGAACACTTTTTGGGTAAAAAGTCCACTTTTTGCTGTTTGATTCACTTTCTTAAAGCCCACCCACCCACTCACTCACCCATCGTCTACTGGGGATGGAGTTAATTACAAGTCCTGTGGTAAGCCCTTCCTACTGAGCATGTGTCACCCCATAAAGAGAAGATTAGATCAGAAGTCAAATTGAACTTAGGAAACTATTTTTTGAATGACAGAAGTCTTCACCTACGCAAAAAAAATATATAATATATTACATATATATATATCCATAAGAATTAATATTTGGAGATGAGAACGTATTAGCACACGCAAGTTGCTGGAAATGGTCAGTACTATGGCCATATGTTGAAAAATAGAACTGCAGTTAAAAATAAAAAAGAGTATACTGGCCTCCTTTGCCTGTAGGTTACAGATTTGTTTGTCAAGATTGCTAGGAATACACAGTTTGCAGTGGTGGCACCAAAGAATGCTGGACACCAACTGCTTTCTGCAAGGAAAGGCAGGCATTTTTTTTTAATCACAAAATACCTTTTGATATTTTAAATGTTTATCAGGCATTAAAGTTACATATGAAGTGAGCATGGATTCCCTAAAGACCACTTCCACTAGTTTCTCATAGGACTCAAACAAAGTTGACATCCCAAGGGATACACTAAATTAATCACTTGATCAGCCATTAAAAAGCTTTAAAACTGCACCTTCTTCAAATTTCTGGTTGTAATTTGACATACTTATCCATCCCTCCATTTGTTAAAGGCCAACAAATGTAATGTAATAATGTTTGTCACATTACTGCATGTTGTGCACATAATATAGCACAATTATTCAAATGAGTTGCCGAAAACCACCAAGGGTTAGATATAGCACAGAAAGAAAAGCAGAAAATATCTGTAAAAATATCAACTGAAATGATGCCTTTTGATGTTTTTTAAGTTATGCTCTTTGAAACTGTACGGTGGCATTTGGTCAGGTTTTGTGGCCAAAATTTGACTTCAAATGCATAGTTTGTTTCTCCTTTATTATCAGAATTGACTGAGGTAGCCAAATGGGGTTATTAGCCATGTGGAGGAGGGTTACAATATAATATGCAATCTCATTTGACACTTGTTTGTTATCATCCATGGATAATCCAATTATAAGTATCAAGAAAACTTTCATGAAGGCATCTAAAGATCAAGTTGAACTTATAGGTTCATTACCGCAGCAGTCTTATTCTATGGCAGTCCTAATCCAAGCCTGTCAACTGAATTTTGATATGATAATTATCTTTTTCCAGGAAACAGGCATCTTAGTGACAAAGATTCCGATTCAAGTTCTGGAATGTCTCCCAAAAGGTGTCCCTACAAAGCTGGATCAATAATTCCTCATGTAAGTGAAAGGTTTAGATTTCTTTCTGTGCATGTATTTTGTCTATCCTTTGCTTATTTTATTAGTAGATGTTTGGTTGTGGCACCTCTACATTTTATACCTATGTTTACAGAAAATGCAGTTTGGTATTTGGACAACTTGCTGTCAGTTTTTTTTTTTTATTATTATTTGCCAAGGTCTGTGAAAATAAATTAATGACTTCAAGTGAAATTTTTTCAGTAAGAAATGAATTAGAAAGAGAAGTTTTCAATATTAGAATAATACTAAATTCTTTTTGTGTATTTTTATTTATTTATTTATTTATTTATTTATTTATTTATTTATTTATTTATTTATTTTTGACAAAACCCAATCAGTAACAGATGATAAAGAGAAAGTAAATTATTGCAGCCAGTTTCTGACTCTAGGGAACTTCCTTTTGTCTGGGGGGAGAAACATTCTAGTAGAACTATCTATCAGACCAATGATTGGTTACATTTATCAGATATTCCATCTATTTGGTTTTGAGGTCTGTCAAAGTGTTGTGATTGATAGGGAGAATATTGTACAATTACCCTAGGGAAATGCCGAACCCAATCTTTTTTGTCCTTTCGTCATATGTATTTCTAGCTAATGAAGTTAAAAGGTATGAGTAATTCATATTACCAAACTGTTCTTTGTCAATATTCAACTTAGTGATGATGACTTCATTATTTTTTTAAATTAAGTGATATATATCACTCTTTTTTTGAAGGAAATAAACTATATTAACAAGTTTTGCATAGGTCACTTGAAATGAATGTGATTTTCTAGTCAATTCATGGTTTACATGCCAACCATTTTTTTTCATAATTTTTTATTTTAATTTCTCCTTTTACGAAATAAAAACATATTTAAACAACAAACAAGAATATGTTTTAAGTGCTTTCTTACTTCATGAAAAAACCCACACACAGACTCTTTATTTTTTTTTATAATTAAAGAAAGTTAACCTCACATGGTGTCACTGGGTACAAAGGAAATTATTTTGGCTTTCCGGAATGTTTATTATACAATTCCTCAGATTCCCAGGGTTTGTTTATATTTCATCCCCATAGATTTAGTAGTGTAAACAGAGAAGTTCACCTGAATGTGTATCCTGAATTCATTGCCCATCTTCTTTTTAATGAAATCCATTTTTTTTACATTGAGGCAAATTCTTTTTTATATGTTCCACACATATGTTTGAAAATAACATTTTTGAAGTAAAGTAGTTAAATTTCAATATTTGTAGAGTCTTTACTGATATTACTGACCTGTCCTTGTAAGGTTATGAGGAAATTGCATTGTTTTGAAATAAATTGAACCTTTTGTATAATATCAGGGAAATCTATGTAAAAGCTAAGACTGTCAATGAGCTTTTTATCATCCAATGGACACACATCACGATGGAAACCTCCTAAAACAGTGGTCATAAAGTTGTGTACCCCTAGTTGCACAAATGTTGCATAAGCAGTTTAAGGTTCGTTAGAGCCCTCAAACAGCAATATTTACCCCAGACTTTGTATGTTGTGTCAACCCCCCTATCAGATGTCCCATTACCACTTGCTGTATACATTGGTGTGTTGTGTCAGGTAATCAAGGGGGGAAAGACGTCTTAGTTTTCACTGAGTGGATTAAGAATTTGGGGTTTTCTATACAAACATACCAGTTACAGGGGAGTTCTCAAGGAGTTTTTATTTTGACAGCTGAGCCATTTGATTAATCAGAATAAATCACTATTTAAAACTTTCTGATTAATGCAGAATATCACATATGAATTGTCCGCAAAATTAATGACAATTAATTAAAAATAGCTAGTCTGGCAATACTTCAAAATAAGAAGATTGCCATTTCGTTTTTAAAAAACATTTTGAGTAGGCCCCCTTAAAGCTTGGTAACCCCAGTACAAGCAGTCCATTGTGGTAAGATATCAGTGGTATTGACAAGAAGAAAGACCAGTTTTGTTGTAGTTTTTCTACTGGAAATGAAAAATGCACATAAAGCAGGAAACCTAAGGACATACCTTGCTTTTCCTGTTGTGAATGGTGACCATAATATAAGTGTGTCATCTGTTTGACCAACTTACAGTCATCAGATAATCTAGTAGGACTGGTCAACTAACCAGATAAAGTGGTACAATAATTATAAGGATTTTATATATTCTTGGAAACTGTATTGAAAATTTAGTTACTTTGCCAGCCAGAGCACCTGTTTTGTTTTTTAAGAAAAAGAGAGACAGTGAAGACTACACAGTTTACAGTGTTCCCACTGATTTAAAATGCAGGCCATACTGCATTAACGATGAACTGGAGGTAGAATCGTATAACACCCTAGTGAACAGATAATTGCACATAACTCGCACTGAGGCTAAAAGGAAGAGAAATATTACCTTAGCACCATGAACAAACCAAAGGTAAGATTTTTTTATGTTGACATTAGCGCTATTGTTAGATAAGGTTGTGAAGCATGTCCCATTTGTCAGATGGTCTATAGCTGATAGGAAACGTGCATGATGCTGCAGGTGAAATTCAGTGCCATGTGCTCAAGTTATTGCTGACAACATCACAGTATCACCATGTATTGAATATGCAAGGGAAGAAGGTACGTATCGACTTTGGGATTAATGGGTTATAAGTCATGTGATAAGTCTGGATGATAATTGAGAGAATATCTGGACAGAAACTGTACAGTTGCATGTCACTCTTAAACCTTAACTGTTTATCTTTGAACTGTGTTTCAATTTTCAGTTTATTTGACTAACTTAATCATAGGAATGTGCAGTATGTAAAATTGTTTGTATATTTTAACATAATGTCATAATATTGAATATGAATCAATATAGATAAGTTTAGAAATACCAACTGCCTGAAAATGTCATAGTATCATGCAATTATAGCATAAATGATCTGGCAGGAATAAGGTGTGAACAAGACTGAACACACTAAGTTGAGGCAATATAAGGCTCGATTCCATGACTTGAAAATAAAACAGACAGCCAGTTTAATTTGGCATGAGTGATGATTTGAATCTAAGCTAATTTAACCTCAGTTAATTTAAACAGTCCCTTCTCCTCCTGGTCTTTCTGTCTTTGTTATTTTTAGAGGCTAAAATGATCCTTGAACAACCAATGTTTACCCTAGCCATCTGGTAGTTAATTATTAGAGCATCGGTGTTGATCCTAGAGTTCTCTCCAGGCAAATTCCTCCAGCTCGGATAGGGTTATGTCCAACAGATTGAAGCCTATCATGTTTTTATTAATGAGTTGAGGGTCTAAATTATTTTAAAATCATGGAAATATTTAGTTTGAAAGATAAATATGCAGTGAAGTATACCTGGGACATGTTTTTATAATGATTTTAAAATGAATAGTTGCTAATTTAAGTGATTACAGCAAAAAGCAAACTCAAACCTGATAAATTAAAATAGAGTATTACTTAGAGTTCCCATGCCACCAGTTCAATATTTCCCCTATTTCAGGATACCCTGTATCATGATAAAGTTATGGTGGCTATTAGTTTGTAGCTGGCACCTTTGTTGATGTACGTGTAGGCCACAAATGTACAGGTGTAAGACATTGCTAACCTGAATTTTTGTGGCAATCAAATAGATGCTCTATCGTTGTGCATCCTTGCACACAGCACAATTTTTCATGGTCTGCTTAGAAAATCAACAATTAAACGAAAAAATCAGTTTACCCTCACTGTTAATGTATATCACCAAAAGGATAAACTTTTCCATTCAAAGTGAATGAACACTGGCTGAGATTTTCTTAATATATTTATAAGAATCTTCAAATTGAAAGATGCACCTCAAATAAGTAGGGTAGAATGACATTCAAATATTAGAAATTAACTAAGCAGCTACCTTAATTGGGACATGATGGGAAGAATTCCATGCTTGTTCTTTCAATCTTATCTTTTATTGGTTTTGGGTTATGACTTTTGTTACAAAGTCCTTCACCAGTGTTCTTTATTTTTTGCACACTGCTGTTAACGTCATGATATCAGCTGGCTTTGTACAAAATATCCTTAACTGAATTCACAGTACATATAATAGTACAATTTTTTAGCCATCTTATTGAGTTATGTCTTACAACATATGGTAATTACTCAATCTTCTCAATGGGCAAAATTATCAAACTTTCAGATAAATAATTTTATAATCACAAAATTAGCATTTGTGGTGCTTTTACTACATAAAATAGGACTGTAGAGTAGCATTCTTATTAATTCTGTTGCTACCACTCATGAAAAGATGGAGTAATTACCGATATCTTTGTGAACTAAATCAAACAAAATAACTGAAAAAGCTAGTGAAATATATTTCATTAGCTTTGTCCAAACATAATTGTGTTTAACTGTTGGCAAAAGTTTCTCTGAATTGCTTGAACCTATGTAGTATAGTTCAACCCTCTGCACATTGTCAGAAAATGATACAAACAAAAATGTGTTAATCCAATACAGTATTAGAATGTGATACAGGCTGCTCTGTCCTGCCAGAAGAATGTGTTAGGTGTTCTAAGCAATTGCTTCCAGGCCCATGTTTGCTTGAAGTTGTGTTAGTTGATATTTTTACCGACTCTCCAGGCTGGGGTGTTGTTGTACCAGTAGATCGCTTATACATTTGTTTTAAGTAGCAGATAATGGTTAATACCCACAATATGCGAAATCTTAAAATGACTTGTAAATAGGTGGTTTGTCAAAGCGGATCCTTGTTTTATTACTTCATGTCAATTTACTTTAGATACATAATTTATTATTTAATTAGAAATAAACCATTTTGTTCACTGAGTGATTGATTTTATCCCGTTTCTTCCATTTATGCTTAAACCAATTAAGAGCACCATATCAACATTTTGTTAGCAGTATATATATATATATATATATATATATATATATATATATATATATATATATATATATATATATATATTTTCTACTCTGAAGAACAATTTGTCAGCCAAGTTACATCATGAAAAATTGCCTATTTATTGTCAAACA